AGGTAGTAACTGGGAGGGCACGAGGTTACCTTCAGGGTGGGGTGATTAACCTTGGATGAGGTGGTTGTCTTCTGCTGAGGACCATTCCTGAGAGAGACTCAGCTGAGGGTTGAGATCTGGACCACACACCACACCATGAATTTACTATGTCTCTCCATTTGTTCATATCTTATTCTTTAATAATAGTCTATAGGTTTCATGTCCTTTAATAAGATTTTGTAGGTTCCCCACCTAGTACAATTCCTATATTTTCTTAATGAATTTACTCCTAAATATTTTATAGCTTTTTTATTGTTAATTGAATGTTTTTCTCATTTTTATTTATTTCTAGGGGCTTATTTATAGTAAATGCTATTATTTTTAATATATTTTTCTTGTATTTATCACCTTAACATTTTCTCTTATTAATTGTAGTAGTTTTCAAGAAAGTCCTCTGGATTTTCTAGATTTACAATCATGGCATTAACTAAAGACATAGTATAATTTCTTTCTTTCCAATATTTATAACATTTAATTTTCTTGTCTTATTGCATTTGCTAGAACTCTAAGGCAATGTGTAATGATAATAGTGTTGATGCCAATCCTGTCTAGTTCTTGATTTTTAAAAAAAACTAGCTTTAGTATCTGGCATATGTTGACTTATGATTATTTTATATTTTATATCTTTTTCATAAATTGTGCCTTTGTTAGATAATGGCCCTCTTTATTTTGCTCAATGCCTATCACCTTAAATCCTACCTTCTCTGATGTCACTTGGATACTCCTGCTGTTTTCTAGTTTGTGCTGGCCTGATCTCTCTCTCTGTCAACTCCTTTATTTTCAGCCTTTTTTCCCCTTGTGGTTTCAAGTGTTGTTCTTAAAAATAGTATGTGTCTGGGTTTTGTCTTTCTAATCCAGTCTCTTGGTCTTTAATGGGGGTTTAAGTTGTCCTTACTTAGTATGATAAAGATGTTTGACTTTGCTCATTCCATAATTACTTGATGTCTATTATTTTTTACTTTGTGGTTTTATCTTTTTATTCAGTTGAACTGTATGAAACTACCATTTTTGTAGGTCAAAACAGTTGAATGTTAGCAATACATTTTAAAGATTTTATTTATTTTATTTTTTCCCCCCAAAGCCCCAGTAGATAGTTGTATGTCATAGCTGCACATCCTTCCAGTTGCTGCATGTGGGACTCGGCCTCAGGATGGACGGAGAAGTGGTGCCTCGATGCGCACCCGGGATCCGAACCCAGGCCACCAGCATCGCAGCGCGCGCACTTAACCACCAAGCCACAGGGCCGGCCCAGCAATACATTTTATACAGCCAAACTACTGCTTTCTTTTTTTCTCTCTCTTTTAAGATGTCATTCATTTAATTTTTCCCTTTGGTAATTTTGGAATTCTACTACTTTTTTCCATTTCACTAGTGACAACCTTTCCTCTCCAGGCATAAAGACTGTCCCTTGGCTAGGCACGGGTCGTAGATAATGTGCCTGTGTTATGGGGGAGAGTTTAAAGCCAGCTGGCCCTTCTTCCTTGGTAGGTCATGTGTTCTATCTATCTGGGAGCTTATACAATGTTCTCTTTCTCCTTGGAGTTTAAGAATTTTACTGTAGTCTTTCCCTTCCATACTGTTGGGAATGTGGTCAGAGCCTCCCATATGCAGACACAGCTTTTTCTTCATGTCAGGAAAGTTTTATTCTGTAACTTGTTTTGTTGATGCCTCTATTTCATCCATCCTTTTTTCTCCTTCTGGAACTCACATTGTTTGCCCATCAGGTTTCCTGGATTTAACCTCCAGATCTCTCGTCTGTCCTCTCATGCCTTTGAGCTCTGTGCATCTTTCCATTGAGCTCTGAGCTATTTCTTCCCTTAGACCCAAGCACCTTTTTCATATTCCTCCAACATGCCAAACTTGTTCTTTTCTCGGGGTGTTTGCACTTGCTAGGCTTTCTGCCGAGAATGGCTTCTCTTAGATCTTTCCCTGCTCAGCTAATGCCTTTGGGTTGATCTTAGCTCAGATGTCCCCTTCTCAGATTCACCTTTCCTGCTACCTTGGACATAAACACCATACTCTGCACATGAGCTTGGTTCTTTTTCTCCATTGTATTCACACTGCCCATAATTAAGTTATTTGTTCTTTTACTGTCTGTTGTATCCATGCTTCACCACCACCACCAACTCCCCACTGGAGGGCAGAGACTCTGTAAATCATTTGAATTCTTACTGTGTCCACTCTTGCTGTGTACCCCATGTCCAGCCCAGGTCAGCCCTTGGTAAGCACTTATGGAAGGAACGGAACAGTGAATTAATGCTGGGGCTTCCCCAGAGAGACCCTGCTCTGTTCAGCCTCCACCCCATACATAGGAGCACTGGATTTGTAGATTGGGTAGTCAGAAGAAGATGAGGCAGTGCCTGTCTGCGAGGGTCTGAATGACTGATGCCACTGCAGATCCTGAAGCCACAAGCAGGGAATAGGAGCAGGAGCTGGGCCAGGTGCAATCCCACTGGGTGTGGGGGGCCTTCCAGGCCTGACTCAGGGCTAGCCTTGATCTGGGGCCCTCTCACCCTGCCCCGACCTCTCACTGTTCCACTTTATTTTTTTCCGTAGCACTTATCACTTAACACAACATGGCATTCTTTTTATTTAGTCAGTCAACAGGTATTTCTGGAGCTTACTTGGTATTTGAGGTGCTCAGGATACATCCATGAACAAAACAGAGAGATGGATTCCCACCTCACAGAGCTCTTGTTCTAGTGGAGGAAGCCAGGTGTGCCATATAAGGATAATAAAGACCTACATTGGGCCGGCCCTGTGGCTTGGTGGTTAAGTGCGTGCGCTGCGATGCTGGCGGCCCGGGTTCGGATCCCAGGTGCGCATCGAGGCACCACTTCTCTGTCCATCCTGAGGCCGAGTCCCACATACAGCAACTAGAAGGGTGTGCAGCTGTGACATACATATCTACTGGGGCTTTGGGGGCAAAAAATAAATAAAATCTTTAAAAAAAAAAAAAAACCTACATAAAAAAGTGTGTGAGAAGGTGGTAACTGCTATGAAAAAAAGTAGAGCAGGGTAAGGGGATAAAGGTGATCCCAAGTGCTGTGGGCAGAAAGGTGCAGGTTGCAGTCTGAAATAAGGGGCTCTAAAGGTGTTGGGGTACAGTCCTGTGAAAATCTGTGGAAACTGCAGTCCAGGTATGAGGAATAACTGGAGCCCAGTCCCTGAACAGGAGAGTGCATGGGGTGTGATATGTGAGAAACTTTGGGAGGCTGAGCCGTGGGCCTGAAGGCAAACAGAGAAGATGCAGTCAGAAAGGTAATGGGGAATCATGGGGCCCCTGTCAGCTGTGGCTTTTCTTTGGGGAGGTGCTACTGCAGGATTCTGAACAGGGCATGAGGGGTTCTGACTTATGTATTCACAGGCTGATGTGTGGAGAACAGACTGAAGGTGGCAAGGGCAGCAGCAGGAGACTGGGAGGTGGCTGTGACATTGCCCTGGGGAGAGATGGTGGTGACTTGGACTGGGTGGAAGCCATGGACCTGGTAAGAAGTGATTTCATTCTGGGTAGATGATGTGATGGAAGCAACAGGACTTCCTGGTGCATTGATGTAAATGGGAAAGAAAGTAATCATGAGGCACTGAGGTGTCTGTCCAGAGCAATAGGAAGAACTGAGCTGCCATCACTTGAGCTGGTGGAGGTGGGGTGGAGTGGGTTTAGGGGATGAGCCAGAGCCAGGGTGGCACAAGTTGAGTTTGAGATACCAAGTGGAAGTCAGAGTGCAGATGCTTAGTCGACAGCTGGACATCATGTCTGGCACTCAGGAAGGGTCTATTCTGGACATATACCTTTGAGAGTGATTGACATGTGGTCCATGCAGGTGGAATTTGAAGCCATGAACCTGGATAAGATTATGAGGGAGATAGTATAGACAGAGAGAGAAGAAGTGAAGAGGAGGAACCAGTGAAGTCAGAGGAAACCAGGAGTGCATGGAGCCCTGGAAGCTGCACAAGGAAGGTGCTTCCAAGAGAGGAGAGAGAGATCAGCTGGTCACAATCTGATCGGTGGTCAGAAATATTTCCTGTCCACTCCCATAAAGACAGTTTGTGGTTTTTTTTACTGTTTTTGTTCACTGTTGTATTTCCAGCACAGAGCGTAAGTGCTCAATAAATACTTGTTGAATGAATGAGTATATGCGTGAATCCACACCTCTGCAAACTCCCAGCACACAGGGCTGCAACACTGGCCTCCTTTACAGAAAAAGTAGAGATCAAGCAGGAGGCTCTGCCCACTCTCAGTAGCACCCCCTCCTCCCTTGCCTTTCCTAGCTACACTGACATTCACTCAGATGGGAGCCTTTCTGGCAGGCACAGGCCCAGGACAAATGAGCCTCAGACAAGGCCTGCAGTGTGGAGCTTGGTAAGACCTAGGGTAGGCACTGGGTCATCCACCAGTCCACAGAGGACTCTACAGCCATTCTTGTGTCCACCTCTCTACATCTAGTCATTTATCCACCTATTTACATCCAGTCATCTGTCCACCTGTGCATATAACCACTCCCTTATCCACCATCTACAGCCACTCTTTTGTCTGTCTTTTCGTTCATCCACATCGAGTCATCTGCCCATCCATCTGCTAGGGTGACCAGCTTCCCAGTTTGCTTCAGACTGTCACCAAGTCAGCATTGCAAGTCCTGCATCCCGGGAAACCCCCCAGACTCGGGAAAAATGGGACAGTTTGTTGATCCATCCTTCCCCCAGGCATCCGGCATTGCACCCATCGGCCCAAAACCCATCTGTCCATCCAACCAGCCCATCTGACCCCCTTGGCCACCCTTCCCTGTGGAGGCAGACAAGACCCTCCCCTCTTTGGCCCCGCCCCGTGCCCCGCCCCTTCCGGAAGCTGCCGCAGCGAATCCGGGTGCCCTAGCAACAGCGCTTTTCGGGCCGCCCAGTCCGCGAACGGGCTCGCGGTGCGAGCCAATAGCGAGAGGCGCCGGGAGCGAGGTGCGGGGGGCGGGGCTCGGCGCGACCGCCGCCATCTTGGTGGGAGAGAAACAATAGGTCGGAAGCGGCGCGGCATTGAGCTGAGGCTACAGGTAACGACCGGTTCGCTCCGCTTACGGCTCTGCCATCCCGGGAGCTTTAGAGCAGGGTTTCCCCGGGCTGTTGGGGGGGCGAGGTCTCTAGTCATTAGAGGTGTTCCCAGGTTATTTGGGGAGGGGCTTTCCCGCGAACATGGGGGAAGGGAGATCTCCCAGGATCTTTGTGGGGCCGGGTTTCTCTGGGTCTTTTGAGAGAGGCGTTATTAGAGACCAGAAGGTCTCCTCTGGTTTTGAGGGGCAAAATGTTCTCTGGTCATTGGGGGGGGTTCACCCTTGGTCAGTGAGGAAGTCTTCTCGGGTCTTTGGTGGGGCAAGATCTCCCGAGTCATTGAGGGGTGTCCCCAGGACATTGGCGTCCACGCTCTCCCGGGTTTTTGAGGGGGTTCTCCTTGAGTCTTTGGTTGGAGGAGTCAGGCCAGCGCCTCAGGTACTGTTACCTGGGGCCGGCAGATGTGCAGCCATTTTGAATGTTGAGTGCCAGTTGGGCCTGTCACCTGGTGTCTCGTGGGGAAATCTGCACACAGTCTTATCCCAAAAAGTCCTAAAATGGGTCAGAAAACGCTTTCTTTATAATGATAAGCTTCATCATGAGTGCAGCTTTCATTTCTTTCACATTTGATTACAGAATGCTTTTGTCTTTTGCATCCTAATGATTTGTTTCATTTTAGAATTTTATTCGGTTTCATATATTAAGAAAGTTGCACTAGCAGAAAATTGAGTCCAAATGTTGTGAAAATAAAATGTAGAAACCGGTAGAACCTACTGCTTTTAAATGCCAGGGGGAATAGAACTAACCACTGCTTAGAATGAAACATTTTGGTAGCAAAATGTGCGTAGAGCAAGAATAAAATAAAGTCATCTGGAAGAAAAAGTGCTGAAACTTTTGAAAAGTAACAAAAATATTGCAGATCACCAGTTTTATGATATTTTTTATAAAGCACCATGATTACAGTAATTCTGATAAATTCTAGTATTTAAAATATTTGCTGTTAGCAGGGTAACATTTTGAGTGAACAAAAATACTTATTTACGTAGATTGCTGCTGTGGTGAGATTGGGTGCTGTGGTGTTTATATAATTGCATCCTGTAACCTGGTGTTAAGTATTTAAAGGGACGTTTCAGAGTGGTGGTGTTATTTTATTTTTTTGTGAGGAAAGTCAGCTCAGAACTAATATCCATGCCAATCCTTTTTTTGCTGAGAAAGACTGGCCCTGGGCTAATATCTGTGCCCATCTTCCTCTACTTTTTTATATGGTCCGCCGCCACAGCATGGTCTGACAAGTGGTGCGTTGGTATGGGATCCGAACGGAGCTGCCAGCAGCGGAGTGTGCACACTTAACTGCTACGCCATGGGGCTGGCCCCTGTTGTTATTTTTTTAACTTTAGCCAGTATCAGAATTAGAAACTGGGCAAAACGAATACTTTATCGTATTTGTCATAATAGGTCAGTTGATCATCTAGTAACTTTTTAATTGGAGAAAAAGTCAATTTAACTGTTATTCCAATTGGTTTACCTGCTTTGTGACTTTAGAGTAGAACTCACAGGAATTGTTAGAAATCAAGTGGATGAGAACTAGGACTAGAGTTGATATAATTGTAAGAACCAGTTTAGCTGGTAATAGATTTCTTTTGTGCTTCGAGGCTTCGCAGGTGACAGACAAGTACACTGTATACCAGTCCTGTATCTGTCTGAGCAGTGGAATATGCGAGGAAGGAGCAACCACAGACTGATGAACCTTAGCCAGTCTCCCTTGCAGGGGGAGGTGCCAGAGCCTTCTGTAAGCACCAGAGATGTCACTGGTATCTAGGCAACAGGGATGAGCATGAGCCTTCCGGAGGCCAGCTTGCTGAGGTGAAAATTTTCCATTGTTTGGCTCATAAAGTGGATGCACTGGGGAAAAATTTTCCCTTTAAGTGAAGTTATTTTACCTGTAGGATAATCACTTTAAACAAATTGAACACGTTTTTGTATAGTAGAGAGTAAGCAGTTGATTACTCTTCTGTGATTACATTTTAAAGCATGTTTTTGTTTTTAAGTACATTGTATTTTTGCCTATTTGCATACTGAGTAATACAAGTAACAAATAGTACTAGTGTTTTGCAATATATTCTGCAAGGAAGGGTCCTTTACCCCAAAAACTGAATTTGGAGTCCACCTCAGAGTTTGAAGGAAGAGTCTCCTAAGGTGATATGCAGTTGGTTTGGATCTGTCACCCATCACCAGCTTCCACAGTTACCAACTCCTAGCCAGTCTTGTTTCATCTGCACTCTGCCTTCCTCCCCCGACCTTAAAAAAAACAACAACAGATTGTCTTAGGAACCATATCCCCAAAATGTATTTTATCCGTATTTCATTGTGTATCTCTAAGAGACAAGGAAGTACCCATGGTATCTACAATACTGTTATTCTGCCTAAAAAACAGTGAAAATTCCTTAATTTTTTTCAGGTGTCCAGTCATATTCAGATGTTCCTGATTGTCTCATTATTTTTTTTACAGTTTGCTCAAATTGGGATCCAGAGAAGCTCTGCACGTTGGATTTGATTGAAGTGTCTCTTAAATTTGTACATGCTCATTCTGTTTTTCTTATAATTTATCTTTTGAAGCAACTGTCATTTGTCCTGCAGGGTTTCCTGTGAGCTGGCTTTTGCTAATCACTTCCTGTGCTTGAAACCTTTTGGCTCTGGTGGCTGGGTTTGAAGTGGTCACTTCTGTATATTTTTTCGATGAAGAAGTTGAGAAGGAACTTCCAGGGCTCATTCAATTCATTCAACTGTGAAGGTTGTCAGGGACCTAAAGGGCCATGCAGAGCAAGACCCTCCCCCTTCCTCTTTATCATGTGGTCCAAAGGGTCTGAGCCCTAGATTTTCCACGTGGAACTGGGAGGAGATTCTTACCTTTGGCCTCCAAGGAAGGTGTAGATGTTCTGCCTCCTTATCTCTTTACAGACCTCCTCCTCTCGCACTGACATTGTACCTTCTGCTCGCAGGCAGTTCACAGTTCTTGAGACCTTGCCCTGGTGCTCTTCTTTCTCTGCATATTACTCTTGGGGGACCTTCTGTCTTCCCTTTGTAGGTAATTCCCAAATCTTTCAAGTTAGATTCACTCAAGCTTCAGTCCACTGCTCCTTACTATCTGCTGAACATTTCTTGAGTGCTTGACCATTCCCTTATATTTAAATGTCTGCAGCTCAACTCAGTACCTTCTCAGCTATTCCTGACTTTATGAACAAAACATCCTTGTTCTGACTTGTGAAGGCTCAATATCTGACTCATCCCTCTAATTTGATTCCCTGTATCAGGGGTTCTGAAGATAGGGTTTATGGTTGCCCACTCTCCAGATGGTATGCATAGTTCAGTGAGGGTGTGCATTTTTCAGGAGAGAGGCCCACAGATGTCTTGGATTCTCTAGGGGGTTGGTCACCCTCCCTCAAAGGTTAAGAACAGTGTGCTGTACCTAGCCATCTACCTACCAAGTCCTGTTTCTCTACTCTTTTTTCCTTTCCTTCCTTAATTCCCCTGTGTGAGCTGGGCAGGGCACTAGGCTCTGTGGGTGTAGTGGAGAAGGCAAGAGACCCTGTGCCCTGCCGAGTGCCACTGAGTGGGGGGAGGTGACATTAAAGAAGTCATTCCAGGTGGGACAGGTATCTGGAGAGAACAGCCCAGGTGCCTTGGAGGCCCCAGAACCTGAGGGCTGTCAGGGACTCTTCCCCACCCCCACCCCGCGGATGAAGGAGGAGAGACCCATGAGAGAAGGAAGCCCAGGCTGGGAAGTGATGGAGAGGTTAGCTTGTCTTGGTCCTGATGCCTCCTAGGGGTTGCAGCTCTGTTAGGGGTGTTCCTGCTATCTTCTCCTTCAGAAAACTCCCAGGCTCAGGACTGTGAAGGCAGTGTTGCCTCTTCTTTCACCTTTGGTTTTGACATCTTCATATAACCAGATATTAAATTCATGAGCCTACAAAGTTACCTTATAAAGTTTTAAAATTTTTCTTCTCTCAAACCCCCTTTTTCATGTGTGCTTCTAATATGTATAGGAATTGTATCTCTTTGCTCTTTAAGAATGCAGACAGAGAAGGCTGCCAATAAATGCTGATTCCTGCTGCCAGTGTCCCTCCACCGATGTTACTGCAGTAGTGACCTGGAGGGCCTCTTTGAAGCTGGGTTTTCCCTTGTCTCTCTGCCTGGTTAATTTTCCTAACATAAAATGTCACCACCCTGCTCCAAAATCCGCAGTGGCTCACATACATTATATGTCAGAGTGAAACAGCAGATGGAACCTTTTTAATCTATGCTCTATCCCAGCAGTTCTACTTCTAGGAATTTTTCTTACAGAAATACTTCCACCAGTGTGCGAAGACATACAGGGATGCTCATTGCATTATTAGTCTAATAAAAAATAAGAAATACTGTCAGGGCAGTTGATAAATACATTATGACTATGTGTGAATATTATGCAGCCTTTAAAAGGAATCATATAGACAGAGATGTGGAAAGATGTCTAAGGCATATAGTTTAGAGGGGGAAAATGGCAAAACAAAAGACAAATACTGAATGATTCTACTTATATGAGAAACTAGAGTAGTCAGATGCATAGAGAGAAGGTTGAATGGTCGTTGCCTGGGGCTGGGGGATTGAGAGAGTAGGGAGTTACTATTTAATAGGTACGGAGTTTAGGGCCGGCCCTGTGGCTTGGTGGTTAAGTGCGTGCGCTGCAATGCTGGTGGCCCGGGTTCGGATCCCGGGTGCGCATCGAGGCACCACTTCTCCGTCCATCCTGAGGCCGAGTCCCACATACAGCAACTAGAAGGATGTGCAGCTATGACATACAACTATCTACTGGGGCTTTGGGGGTAAAAAATAAAATAAATAAAATCTTAAAAAAAAAAAAAAAATAGGTACAGAGTTTCAATTTCAGAAGATGAAAAGTTCTGGAGATGGATAGTGGTGATGGTTGTACAGCATTGTAAATGTACTTAATGCCACTGGACTGTACACCCCAAAGTAGTTAAAATGGTAAATTTCATATTGTATATATTTTATCACAATTTAAAAAAAAGGGGGGAAAAATAAAGCTGATTTTACTGGGTAAAAAAGCCAAAACAACACATTTAGCCTTACCCTATTTTTTTTTTTTTTGTGAGGAAGATCAGCCCTGCGCTAACATCCATGCATCCATGCTAATCCTCCTCTTTTTGCTGAAGAAGACCGGCTCTGAGCTAACATCTATTGCCAATCCTCCCTTTTTTTTTTTTTCCCCCAATGCCCCAGTAGATAGTTGTATGTCATAGTTGCACATCCTTCTAGTTGCTGTATGTGAGACGCGGCCTCAGCATGGCTGGAGAAGCAGTGCGTTGGTGTGCGCCCGCGATCCGAACCCAGGCCGCCAGTAGCAGAGCGCACGCACTTAACCGCTAAGCCATGGGGCCGGCCCTAGCCTTACCCTATTTATGTAAAGAATAGGAAAATGCATAGAAGAAAATTACAGGATGAAGAGACGCCAAACTATTAATGGTGGCCATTTTATCACATTTGTAACCAGTTAAAAAATCTGTTTAAGGGCTAAACAGGATGTCCCGTGGCACTCTCCATTTCTCTGCCTGGTGTTGAAGACCCCTTCATCCTCCATCCACAAGTGCAAGCTTAATGTGCTCTTATCCTCTTGTACTGTCAAGTCCACCCTCTGACCTTCATCTCCCATTGGACTCTTTGGAGGAACTGTGGACAGTGACAGTGGACAGAGGACAGCTCACGTTTGAGGAGTGCATTGCATGCAAGCCAGGCAGTAGGCTAGGTGTTTAATCTTGTTCCCACCTCACGCCACCTCTATAAAACTGTACCATGCCTGGTTTACACATGAAGACAGGCACCGAGGATAAGTAAAGCATTGTTTATATCCAAACATAAGGCAGGCCCCAATTTCCCAGGGAGAAGATTTAAAAAGGATTTTTTGGTAGAACTCAAGTGTATAAACTTACAGAGATGTACCTGAAAGTTGGATTTCTTGTAATATTTATTATCTTTAATTGCACATACATATTTAGTTATCTAAAATAATGTATTCCTTTAAAAGTTAAGCTTTTACCCACATATTTCATGAATTAGTTCTGTTCCAGTTTGCCTGGGTGTGTCTTTGACATTCCCATAGCCACATTTGGAGGTGTTCTCCTCCTGAACTCTGCATCCTCATCTCGGTGATGGAGATTTCACACTGGAACCTTTACCCCTAGCTGGTTGTGATCTGTGGTGTGGACCCTTTTACTGTGTTGATTTTTTTTTTAATAACAGCTTTATTGAGATACAGTTCACGTACCATATAATGCACCTCCAAAGAAATCCTGTATCCTTCATCCCTAGGATAACCCCCCTGTCCACTGGCCCATCAGTCTTCCCGAAAGTCTTCTCACCCTGCATGTTTAAAGGACAATGTGCTGTGTTAAGCCCCGGGGATGGAGGGAGGAAGCGAGTCAGTGCTGCCCAGCTTGCCCTGCTGTCAGTTGTGGTGGTATGCTTTGTGAACTAGAAGTGGTTGCCTGGTGACCAGGGAGGCTATAGCACGTTACCATTTTGCCATTTTCCACATGGGCAGAGGGGAGATGAGGACTTACTCAGCAAGAGTTTGTTGGCCCTTACCATGCTGCTCAGGTATACCCTGGATTCATTTTTCTGTTTACAGTTATTTTCTCCAGTCTTTTTCAAGGTTTTATGTTTGCTTTTAATGTAAATTTTCGTTAATAGGGTTCTCTTCTAGTTGAAGTTATGCTAATTCAGTCTTTTTTTTTTAAATTTTATTTATTTATTTTTTTCCCCCAAAGCCCCAGTAGATAGTTGTATGTCATAGTTGCACATCCTTCTAGTTGCTGTACATGGGACGCGGCCTCAGCATGGCCGGAGAAGCAGTGTGTGGGTGCATGCCCAGGATCCGAACCCGGGCTGCCAGCAGTGGAGCGCATGCACTTAACCGCTAAGCCATGGGGCCGGCCCAATGCTAATTCAGTCTTACAAGTAAGGATTAAGCTATGGAATACAAGTAGGTAACATCTCTTCCGTTGATGCACCAGCATTATCAGTATATGGTGGCCAAAAGTTAATGTTCTAGTAACGAGACAGAGTTTTTGTTCTTTATGCCTCCAAGATGCCACTTAGTTAAGACTGAAATGATTGGGAAGATGGTAGCTCCTAAATGTGGTATCCAGGTTAGAACAGGTAGCAAAACAAGCATATGATGACAACAGAAAAGTCGTGCTTTGATTTGATTTTAAATGTTCGTGAAATGTAGGTGTTGTTGAAGTGATATGGTCAATACCTGTAGAACCCCATCCACAAAAAATAAAAATAACAGCTTCAGCTGCTGTTCATGGGACCCTCACTGTGCTAGGTCACAGGTGAAAACTGTGTTCTTTTTGTTCCTGGCCACTTTGTTTTTTGTTTGTTTTTGTGAGGAAGATCAGCCTTGAGCTAACATCCATGCCAATCGTCCTCTCTTTGCTGAGGAAGACCAGCTCTGAGCTAACATCTATTGCCAATCCTCCTCCTTTTTTTTTCTCCAAAGCCCCAGTAGATAGTTTTGTGCCATAGTTGCACATCCTTCTAGTTGCTGTATGTGGGACGCGGCCTCAGCATGGCCGGACAAGTGGTGCGTCGGTGCGCGCCGGGGATCCGAACCCGGGCCGCCAGCAGCGGAGCGCGTGCACATGACCGCTAAGCCATGGGGCCGGCCCCTGTTCCTGGCCACTTTGAGGTGATAAGTCACATTCCACTCTGGACTGAAGGATTTCAGGCTTTGGGTTTTCTTGAAAGCCTTGTGACTTGGAGATGAAGCTCTAGTATGTGCTATCATAAGCCCCTCTGGGCAGCTGGAGTCAGCCTGGGCCTTTTCTGCTTGCTTTCTGTCATGGAGAATTCACAAAGCTTTCTTTGCACTGCTGGGTTTTATTTTGTTTAATTCTTTTGAATGTATTTAACTGAAACTCATAGTTGCTCAAGACTGGAGATCATTTAATGTTACTGTTTTCTCTATGTATCCATCCATTTATCTTACTTGAGACACTCATACATGTTTTAGAAATTGGACGTCCAGTCGTAAGCCTAAGGAAGAGTAAAAAAGATGTGTTACAGACCAGGAAGCAGAACACTTGGCTCTAGTGTTGCTATTTCTGCACTTAGTTTGCGAGAATGTGCACACTGGGTACCTGGGCTGGATCCCACAAAGCTGGGTTTGTAGGCAGTTGCTGCCTTGCCCCAAGTCCCCTGAGCCGTATCGGTTTACCTTAACTCGTTTGTGGTGGTTAGAGTCGTAGACTGCACCAAGGAGGAGGAGACTGGAGATGGAGAATTGCCCTTGAAAGAGAGGTAATGGGCTTTTTAAGGACTAAAAATTCTTGGTGTGTGTATGGAATACATTTAGCTATTTATAAGAAAATGTGATATTATGATAAAGAGGATATATGACACCTTAGAATTAATAATTTAGATTGGTGGTGCTACAGTTTTAGCTAGAAAAAGCTTTTTAAATTGCTGAAACTCTAATTCTAGCAGCGTAACTCTGATGAACATATTTCTGGGTAGGCTAAAAGCTCCTTCTCCCCCTCCCCCTCCATCTTGAGTCTCTAGTCTGTCGTTCCAGAAATCTGGTCTGACAAGGCAAAGAGATGGGGCAGTGTGGTCTTGCTGGTGGTTCTAGAGAGCAGAAGCATCTGAGAGGCTGCTATTTCCCTTATGGAAAAGCTTGTCCAGATTTTTGGAACAGAATCTGCTGTTAATTTATCCCTCAGCATGGGGAGAAGGATCTGCATTATTGTGACTTTCATAAAATAGTTCCACTCACAACTTGTATTTTTCTCTTTATTAAAACTGAAAATGCAAATGAGGGAGACAATGAGCATGTAGTGTTAGACTGCAGGCATCTGTGTCAAGTCAGTGCGGGGCTTTTGTATCTTATCTCTCTGGCCCTGTTTCTTTGGTGGAGCCAGCGCCTGCTGTGGCGTAGAGGTGACACCCTCCCTGCCAGCCAGGCTGCAGCTCCTTTGAGGGTAACACAATGATTCCAGCATTCTTAGCAGCAACTGCTTCATCTCAGGTACCTGTTGTTTTCTGTGATGAGGCCTGGGTGATATGGTGACCTCATGGTGCCTCAGTGTACCCATCTGTAAGGGAGATGATCATAGTATCCACTCCAAAGGGCTGTTGTAAGAGTGGAGGTACTTGTTTTCTATGGAGCAGTGGTGGGAGTTTTCCTGAGGTTGATGGTAGTTTGGCGCCATGTAGTCAGGTCAGTCTGGTCAGCCGCTTTCCTTGATGCTTCCCACAAGGCAAACATTGACAGCTTTCCTCTTCCTTCCTGGCTATATTTTGCTAGAACTCCTTTTTGTATATTCATTTTGTTGCCAGTGCTTGCGCCTCATTTGTTATCCAGCATCCCTGGAAGTCCAGGTTGTGGAGGGAATGATTTTCCTTCTGCATCATCTTACTGAGACACCTTATTTAAAACTGGATGGCAGACCCACCAGCGTTGCTGAAGAGGCCTTCAGCATAATCATTACCAACCTGTGGCCTTTCTTTGCTTTGCCTGCAAAAGATGGGGATAATTATCTTTCAGTGATAATTTAGCAACCTGAAAACCTTGGGTCTTTGGGAGGTGACTCAATATCAAACCAGAATTTCTGAATGCTAGTTAGTATATTTGTTTTAAACAATAATGGGGTTTTAATCTTGTTGTAGCTACATTTTCAAAGTTTATTCTTCAGTGAACATTCTTTTCTTGCCTGATTTTCTACAAGAGAGAATTTTCCAAGAGATTGGTTGTCATTACAGTAAGAGCTTAGGCTTTGTTTACATGAAGTGCACACCAGGAGGTCCCAGATGTGTGTTCAGGTGCAGGGTCCTTCATTTATACTCCCCAGTTTAATGCAGACTTGATAAGATGGGAGTTTATAAATGCAAAATAAACACTAGTCGGTGCTCAGAATGTATTTTGTAAAGTGTGTGGCATGCCTCGTTTTCATAATTGTACTCACTGTATGATTAATGTGGGTTTGGATCATTGCAGTGGGTGCCTTTTGAGTTCTCTGTTGATTTGTGTGCAGCAGGTGTTCATGATGCAGTAGTGATTTGGGCACATCCTGTGGAGCACCTACTCTGTGTTGGTCCTCTTCTGGACTCTGGAGATTCAGCAGTGAACAGAGCGGTCAGAAATCTCTGACTTAATGGACTGTGTTTTCTGGTGGGGGCAGTGTGGGAGAGACAGAAAATAAACAAGACGAATAAGAAAACATAAGGTATGTTAGATGGCAATAAGTGCTAAAGAGAAAATAAAGCAAGGTTGTGTAAGGGAGTGTGGATGGGGGTGTGTGGCACTTTTAGATGGGGTGGCTAAGGAAGACCTCATTGAAGAGGTGATGTTTACAGAAAGAGCTGAAGGAGGTAAGAGAGCGAGCCAGGGGGATATCTGGGGAAGAGTGTACCAAGCAGAGGGAATGGCAAATGCAAAGGCATGTTTGAGAAACAACTAGGAGGCCAGTATAATTGGAGCAGATTTGATGTTGATTTTTCTTTCCTTATGGGTGTTTTACAGAAAGGCTTATTGGACCTTTATGTTTCTGTTCTGCTCATTTTTGTGTAAAGCATGCTTTTGTGGGGCCGGCCCTGTGGCGTAGCGGTTAAGTGCGCACGCTCCGCTGCTGGTGGCCCGGGTTCGGATCCCGGATGCGCACCGATGCCCCGCTAGTCAGGCCACACTGTGGCGGCGTCCCATATAAAGTGGAGGAAGATGGGCACGGATGTTAGCCCAGGGCCAGTGTTCCTCAGCAAAACAAAAAAAAAAGGAAGCTTGGCATGGATGGTAGCTCAGGGCTGATCTTCCTCAAAAAAAAAAGGATGCTTTTGCTTTGGCTTTATGAGAATTGAAAAAGATAATCGTGCAACTGGTAGAAGTCTGCTAGTATTAAGACTCTGATAAAAATTAGGCTTTCAAAGTGAGCAGATGGCTTTAGGATAAGCAGTGGGTGTCATGGGTTTATGAAAGAAAACATGGCTGTCCCTGCAAGTCTCTACCATGAGGAGGTGCCTTCCTTGAAGGGAAAAAGCCCTTACTTTGATAGAGATGGCGACCCAAGCTGACCTTGGTGTGAATGACTCAAGATGCTCAATGTGTGAGGCAAATGATCCCAGTTAGAATGGATGGAAAAGGAAATTTCAGCCCAACTATTTAACAGCTAATATGATCGTTTTAAGTATAAGCTTTTCTTTTTTTTTTTTTTTAAAGATTTTATTTTTATTTATTTTTTCCCCCCAAAGCCCCAGTAGATAGTTGTGTGTCATAGCTGCACATCCTTCTAGTTGCTGTATGTGGGACGCGGCCTCAGCATGGCCGGAGAAGCAGCGCGTCGGTGAGAGCCCGGGATCCGAACCCCGGTCGCCCGCAGTGGAGCGCGCTCACTTAACCACTAAGCCACGGGGCCGGCCCAGTATAAGCTTTTCTGATTATTAAAATAATAAGTACTTATGAAAATTTTGTAAATTCAAAAATGTACAAGAAAAATTTAATTCCTTTATTGAAGTATAAATTATGTACAAGATTCATCAATTTTAAGTCTATAATTTGATGAGTTTTAACAAATGTATGTAGTCATATAATCACTGTCCTAGTTACAGCATGGAACATTTTCATTACCCCTAAAAGTTCTCTTGCCCCTTTGCAGTCAGTCCTAGTCCCCTACCTCTGCCCCCTGGCAACTGCTTATCTGCTTTCTGCTGTTATAGTTTTGCTTTTTTCTAGAATTTCATATAAATGGACTCATACAATATATGGTCTTTTGTGATTGGCTTTTTTCACTTAATATGCTTTTGTGATTAATCTTTGTTGTTGCATGTATCAGTACATTCCTTTTTATTGCTGAATAATATTCCATTATATGGATATACCACAATTTGTTTATTCATTCACCCATTTGATGGACATTTGGGTTGTTTCCACCTTTTGGCTATTGTGAATAGCACTATGAACATTTGTGTACAAGTCTTTGTGTGAACATTTATTTTCATTTCTCTTATGTAAATACCAATGAGTGGGATTGCTGGGTCGTATAATAAGTATATGTTTATTAACTTTATAAGAAACTGCCAGGGGCCAGCCGGGTGGCGCAAGCGGTTAAGTGCGGGCGCTCTGCTGCGGCGGCCCGGGGTTTGTCGGTTCGGATCCCAGGTACGCACCCACGTACCGCTTGTCAAGCCATGCTGTGGCGGCGTCCCATATAAAGTAGAGGAAGATGGGCATGGATGTTAGCCCAGGGCCAGTCTTCCTCAGCAAAAAAAGAGGTGGATTGGCAGATGTTAGCTCAGGGCCGATCTGCCTCACAAAAAAAAAAAAGAAAGAAACTGCCAAACTGTTTTCCAAGGTGGCTGTACCTTTTTGGATTCTTACCGGCAATGTTTGTGAGTTCCAGTGACTGACCCTGGTGGTGTAGTCGTGTATGGATGTGTGTAGATGCTGGGCAATGGTTCTGGGGCTCACAAAGAGGAGGTGTGGGTAGTAAAGGTTGTTTTTCCATCAGGCTAGTGTGCCTCACACCATCCCCTGTGACTACCCAACCCTAGTGCTTTTTTTGAGGCAAAGTAACTGGCCCCGGTAGATCCTTTTTGTAGCCTCATTACTGAAATTCTAGATGTATGAGCTAAGGGCCCAGGGGCTTTCATGAGTCATAGCTGTTTTATTTGCAATATTTCAATAATTAAGAATATTAAGGCATTGTTTCCACCAGATCCTTAAACCAATTTGATAGATTTAGGGGGGTGGGCTATGTCCTAGCCTAGGATGAATCATGTTTTGTGTTCCTTACCTGTTCATAGTTTTGAGGACAAATGTAAGGCAATGCAGAAGGCCAAAATAGGGGCCAGCTCTGTGGCCTAGTGTTAAGTTCGGTGCGCTCTGCTTCAGCAGCCCAGGTTCGTGGGTTCGGATCCCGGCTGTGGACCTACACCACTCGTCACCCATGCTGTGGTGGCGACCTACATACAAAGTAGAGGAAGATTGGCACAGATGTTAGCTCAGGGCTAATTTTCCTCAAGCAAAAATTAGAGGAAGGGGCCGGCCCGATGGTGTAGTGGTTAAGTTCGCACGCTCCACTTAGGTGGCCCAGGGTTCGAGGGTTCGGATCCTGGATGCAGGCTTATGCACCACTCATCAAGCCATGCTGTGGTGGCATCCCACATACAGAATGGGGGAGGATTGGCACAGATGTTAGCTCAGGGCCAATCTTCCTCACAAAAACAAAAAAGAGAGAGGAAGATTGGCAACAGATGTTAGCTCAGGGCTAATCTTCCTCAGCAAAAAAAAAAAAAAAAAGCCAAAATAGATACTCAATTGGAAGCCGGTATTTTACGGTTATTCCATATCTTCCTAGGTACAGGGTCCACACTTCGCTTGGACTTCACAGTAGCCATTAATACTCCAGGAGTCTTGGGAAACTGGGCCTTAGACTTCGGATATTTAAAAACCTTAAGAGATCCCACTGCTCAAACTGTGTGTGGAGGAGAGAGAGCGTAGCAGGTGCAACAGAGTAGGTGTTTTGGGCGCTTTCCTTTGTTCTGGCCAGGTTGAGACCACTACAGGGGAAGCTGATCTGCTGTGTAATCCTTGGGAAGTTGATCCTTCATTTTCCTACAGGGATATAGCCTGTAAGCGACCCTAGAACAGAAGTTCCACTTCTTTGTCTGCAACCCCAAATGTGAGAAATGTGTTGTACAGTGAAGCCATACTTATGTTCATATTGAGAGATTGAACATAATTAAAATAAAAGAATCACAAAACGGGCTTACCTTATTAAGTGCAGTGCAATAGTATTTACTGTTTTTTCCTATTTGAAGATTTTATTTATTTATTTATTTTTGCCCCCAAAGCCCCAGTAGATAGTTGTATGTCACAGCTGCACACCCTTCTAGTTGCTGTATGTGGGACTCGGCCTCAGGATGGACAGAGAAGTGGTGCCTCGATGCGCACCCGGGATCCGAACCCGGGCTGCCAGCATCGCAGCGCGCGCACTTAACCACCAAGCCACAGGGCCGGCCTGTTTTTTCCTATTTGATTAAAACAAAGAAAGAAACTACTGGTTACCACTCACTAATTTGATTACACAGCCCACAGAGTAGAGATCTACTCCAGGCCTATCTTCTCCATTTTACAGGCCAGAAACTGGTACCCAAAGGGAGTCAGGGATTTGGGGTCTTTCTCCAAGCAATTGAGTGGCGGAACTGGGACTAGAATCTGGCTCCACCTCACTACAGGATAATAAATTGTCTCCCTAATTCCACCTCTCACTGGGAGTTTCCTCTGTCATCAGACTTGGCTCAGATGAGAATGAGCCTTATTGTTCTTGCCTTTCTACCCAAGATAATGATTCTTCTCTAGGAAGCAATGTCCTGTGGCCTGCCAGAGTTGGGTGCTGGGAGAGGGTGGCAAGGTGCTACATCATACCCAGCAGCTAAGGAACACACTGGGGACCTGCGAGGAGGAGGAGGTGGAGACCTTCACTGGGCCTTTTGGCCTCCTGCCACACCTCTGAACCATACTCTAGAGAGCTGCCATGATGGACCAGTTTTTGTTGGTTTTAGATTTTTCATTGGAGGTGGGGATGGGTAAGAGAGATGCCTGAAGAAAGATATTTTTCTACTTAATTGAATACATTTAAGGAATCTTGAATCGAGTTGGAAACGGATTTGTATCGTTGTTAGCGTTGCTCTGATAACAAAAGAAGTTTTACATTCTTATGAAAAGTTTGGATTGTGTTCCTAAAGCCAGGTTCATGAGGAATGTCTTGTGTTTTCACAATTTAGTAATTATGGTACTTGGTTCATGCTTGGGTGCTGGCGGGCCGGCCATAGCTTTCCTTTGGTATTGCTCTTACTCAAGAGGTCTTTTCAGTAGACTGGTATTAAACTGGTCAATATAGACCTTGAGAGGGGCTGGCCTGGTGGCACAGTAGTTAAGTGCGCGCACTCCGCTGCGGTGGCCCGCGTTTTGCAGGTTCGGATCCTAGGCGCGCACTGACGCACCGCTTGTCAAGCCATGCTCTGGCGGCGTCCCATATAAAGTAGAGGAAGATCGGCATGGATATTAGCCCAGGGCCAATCTTCCTCGGCAAAAAAGAGCATTGGCATTGGATGTTAGGTCGGGGCTGATCTTCTTCAGAAGAAAAAAAACGTATACATATAGACCTTGAAAAAGAGCTTGTGTGCCACCAGGCATCTCAGAGCCCCACCTTCTGGAGAGAGTCTGGAATGACTGGAATGTACTCATCTTAGAGCTGGTTGCCTGTATTGTGTCTTGGGACTCTTCTCAGCACATTCCCTCCTGAAGACTTCTGTGATGATGAGAAGGTAGTACCAGGTGAGAAATCGAGACCTTTGATTTTGCTCCTCTTTGCATATAGGAAAGCTTACTGATTCCTAATCCTTAAGTCCAGTTTGGGCCCACAGTCGGTTCTCTCTGAAGGAAAGATTAACACCAGCTTAAATTCTTTAAAAGAGGCTACTTTATAAATAGAAAATATAAATCCATGGTGAAAGCACTCATGGTACAAACTAAATGGCCCATGTACATAGGAGTGCTGTCCAAGGCAGAATTGCTGGAGACCCTGGGTCCTAGAGACAGCCACGTAGGGGCATCCAACAGACTGAGGTTCACTTGGGAGCTGTGGCTTATTGTTCCTGGCCCTGGATGAGTTTCCTCACCCCCTGAATCAGCGTCATTGTTTGCAACAGGGAGAGTAGTGTCTACATGTGGTATTATGTAGAGAAAGTATCATGAGGACCAAATGAGATAAGTTCCTATAATGAATCTAGCACATAGTAGGTGCTTTACCCACATTAGAGGACAGTGGGCACATCTCCAGCAGACCCATTCTCACCACCACTATCTCAGTTGGAGTCATGGGAACCAGAGGAGTTCCCAGTAAGAATCCTGTCCGGATGCTGAAATGTACCCCAAGCTCTGTAACTAGTGCTGTTAGATACAGTGTAGTCTGTAAACTATAGACAGAAAACAGAGAACTAGCTTGACGTGCCCTGTGAAACGGTTAACAGGCACATAGAGGTGTGCTTTGCTGAGATCCAGTGTTTGGGGATAGGAAGTCAGGGCTAAAGCCCTGGACCTCAAGAGTGGATGAGAGCCCTGATTGCTCCAGGAGCGCAGCTTTGGTTTAAAGGTGTGCCCCAGCTTTGGGAGATCAGGATAGAACCGATAAAAATAGTCAGTGACCTAGGACACTGTGTATCTTTTTAAGGAGTTAGCCACCCTTGATCAGTTGTTTTTAGATAGAGACCTTAATCATTAAAGCTAGACCCAAGCTTCACTGCTAATAAGGTTAACGGGGGCTTGTCTTTGGCGTAGGGCAGGGAGGTGTGTGTGGACTGGGGAGTAAATCTTAACTAGATGTGTAAGCAGGTTTTCCCTTTAAATGCATTTTATAAAAACATAACGACCAAGAGTGAACCCTAATATAAACTGTGATAATGTGTCAATATAGATTGTCATCAATTGTAACAAATGTACCATTCTGGTGGGAGATATTGATAAAGCAGGGAGACTGTGCATGTGTGGGGGCAGGGGGTGCTATATGGGAATTCTGTGTATCTTCCTCTCAGTTTTGCTGTGAACCTAAAACTGCTCTAAAATATAAAGTCTGTTAAAATACATGTATAGTTAACAGACTTGGATCTCAACCACCTTAAGTTGAACAGTTTTATTACAAAATGGTAAAATTTAATCCGAATAATAGGTTTGAAGTTGTGATTTTTACCTCGTCGTGGCTTCGCGTTTTGCTCACGGTAGTAACTTTCTAACGCCGTGGGGACGGGGGGACACGGGCTGTTTAGGGGCCCTGCAGCCAGTCTTTGCCTGTCGTCATCCGGCCCCGCCCGGCGAGAGCTCAGCCTGTTTGTTTCTGGGGGAGGAGGCGGGGCCGGAGTGGGCGGAGTGGGCGGGGCCACGTGTGAGCCCAGGCTGGCTGTCTTTCTGCTGGAGGAGGAGGGCTAGCAGCTTTAGGCGGTTCCCAGGCCACTTCCAACTCCCTTGTCACTCTTTGCTCTGGCAGGGAGTCCTGGCACGCGCAACCGAGGAGCCAAGGCCGGACAGACGGACGCACAGATAGACGACGGACGAAGGGCGCACTGGCCGCTAGACCCTGCCGCCTCCCCTTTCTCCTTGCCGCCTGCGCCTGGAGGATGAGCCCAGCGTTCAGAGCCATGGACGTGGAGCCCCGCGCCAAGGGCGTCCTGCTGGAGCCCTTTGTCCACCAGGTCGGGGGGCACTCGTGCGTGCTCCGCTTCAACGAGACGACCCTGTGCAAGCCTCTGGTCCCGAGGGAGCACCAGTTCTACGAGACCCTCCCAGCCGAGATGCGCAAATTCACTCCCCAGTACAAAGGTGAGCCCCTAGCTGCTGTAGAGGTCGCCAGCGCCTGGGAAGGAGATGCGAGGCCTCGCGGCCATGGAAGGCCTGGGTAGCTATCTCGGGGAGCCCCCACCCTTTCCCACTCACTCTGTGTTTTCCCTCCTCCTCTTCCTCTTTGCCCTCAACCCAGCACCTCACACCCTCCCGTTTTCAAGCCCTGGTAAGATTGCTCAATTCTGTTTTGTTTTGTGGATTTGTTTTGAGTTTATTTTTGGTGGAAGTGTAGTTGTGTTTTATGTTCAGGTGTCTCTCGATCACAGTAACCCTAAGTCCCCTATGGGGGACAGCGGGGGAAGACTTTGGGAGGATTTTACCCAGAATATTTGCCGCCTGCTTTTTGTCCTCCAGGAAACCAGAAGCCCGGGTGATTAGGTAGGCTGGGAGCAGGGTTGAGTCAGATGGAATGCAGGAGTGGGAGGCCTGTACTGATTAGCTGAAGCCCTTTGCTATGACAGAATGTCCCTGAAATTGCTATGTTAAGGCAACTCTTTGATTCACATATGGTGACTTTTTCTTCCTTTTTATAGTGCATTTTTTGGGGGACATAGCAGCCACCAGCATGGTGTGGTCTTTCGTGGGGTGGGGGGAGTCCTTTGTAAATTAAAGACAAACCCATTAAGGAAGTTAATTTTAAATTTGCATTGCCTGGTTATACAAAAGACTCTTGAACAATTTAGGTTCTTCTGGGACTGTTGAAACATGCTCTTTGAAGACAGAATGTGTGGGGCTCCTCTCTCTGTACTCTGAATATGCATGTATGTTGCTGTGGGGGTGGAGGAGTTGGGGGCCCTCACTTGGTCCTTCTCTGTTGTTTTTTCCAGGACAAAGCCAAAGGCCCCTTGTTAGCTGGCCGCCCCTGCCCCCTTTTTTCCCCTGGTTCCTCCCTGCCCCCCCCCACGCTCCGTGGCCACAGGGAAGTGTGATCCCTTGAATTTCCCATCCTGGCTCCTCTGCGCCCAGAGTCGGGGACCACCTCAGAAGTGTCGTCTCTCTCTGAGCACGCATTCCCCTGCAGCAAGCGAGCGGGCGGGCGGCAAGGACTGAGCAAATTGAGTGTTCCTGGGCCAGAGAGGCCTGGGAGGAAAGGTGTCCAGCCAATCGGTTGTAAGGCGCTCGTCGGCACCTGCTGAAATGCTCCCACCTGACAGCCCCCTCCTCAAAGACTGTAATTACACATGGCAGGTTCTAGAGACTCGAAGGGGAGAGCTGCTTTCAAGGCCACCATGCGTCTATGTTCCCAGCCCAGCCCTATTTGCCTTGTGTTCATTTTGTTCTTTTGTGACATGAGATTGCAAAGACCAATAAAGTAACATGTTTGAGAAGGACAAAAGGCTTGGGGCACCCACCCGTGTGGGGGCGCGGCGAAGCCTTTGCTAGAGTGTCTGTTGTGCTGTGTGGTTTGTTTTGTTTGCTCCTTTATTTTGTTTCGCTTGCGCAGTCCTCCCTTACCCTTGGATGCTTCTTACCCCCCAGGCAAACCTGTTCCCCCTGTGTTTGGGCTCTGCTTTAAAGCAAGCCTCGAGGCCATCGGAATTTCTGTTCAGGGCATTAAAAACTCCCACGAGATATAAAGAGCAAATGTGTTTACGTCTCTCTTAGGATTAGAAGACTTACATAAAAATTAATAAACATTTTCAACGACAGAAAAATGTGTCTTGTAGTTCTTTGGCTCTTGCCTTGTTGAGTGCATCAAAGAGGAAGACTCTCGGCCATGTTTGCTCCCTAATTGCTTGTCTTGTATGGTGTCATTTTTTCTAGCTGTTTTGATATTTGTTAGGATGGCAGATGAGTTTGGGGCCTCTGGCAACATAGAGACTAAGGAACAGGGTAAGAAAAAAACAAATGTTACAATCATGTTATTTATAAAGCATCTTCCTGTGGAATTAAAAGTCCTCTCTGCTCCTCACCCCCCTTCCAGGTGTGGTATCTGTGCGTTTTGAAGAAGATGAAGACAGGAACTTGTGTTTAATAGCATATCCATTAAAAGGGGACCATGGAACTGCGGACAATGTAGACAATTCAGACTGTGAACCAAAAAGTAAGCTCCTAAGGTGGACAAACAAAAAACTTCATGGCCTAGAAATGGAAAAGACCCCCAAGGACTGGGTGCGGCAGCACCGGAAAGAGGAGAAGATGAAGAGGTTGGTGTTTAGACTGAGAGGGGAACCCTGGATTCTGTGGGGGGGGAGGGATCTTAGTTACAACCCAATCTCCTGGAGCTAAGGACTCACACGATGGACTTAGTAGGTGCCTTGTCACTCAGTGGTTGGTTCCTGCATGGCATGCCCAGCTTCTCTTTAATTGACTCTGCAGTGGCAGCTGTAAAAGAGTTTGTCGCTCATTCCTTCTGCAATGGCACTGTGCCAGGCCCTATGCTGCATCCTGTGGATGCAAGACAGGAGTCATCCTGTCACCTCAGGTTGCTCACTGATAGTGGGAGACAAAATGGTCAGTTGGGCATCCCCGAATCTTGGGGATCCACCTGGGCAGAGCCTTCCAAGTGCTGCACCTGGGCAGAGCTTGTAAAAATATAAATAATATATATGAATTCAAGTATGTGTAATATAGCTAAGTAGGTTGACTTATTTCCATGGAATTTCAATTCAGATTTTTCCATTCTCCAGCATTCGGAGTCAGGGAACATGGAAGTACCAGAAGCCAGGGGGTGGTACTGCCTAGAAGAAGAGGGCAGTGAACGCTGCCTTGCAGGGCAGGGGGTGGAGTCAGAGGCTATTCTTGCATCTTAGATTCTCCTTACTGTAGAAAAACAGTGAGCTGGCCCCTTAATTTTTTTTGTAAATCAACTTTCTTGAGGTATAATATACATACAATAAATTGTACCTATTTGGTGTTTAATCTATATACTGAAACCACCACTGCATCAAGATATCAAACTTCCCATCACTCCAGAAAGTTCCTTCATGCCCTGAATTTTGATAAGACTTTGTGATTTATTGGCTCCTTTCTCTTTAATAGCCATAAGTTAGAAGAAGAATTTGAATGGCTAAAGAAATCTGAAGTCTTGTACTACAGTGTAGAGAAAAAGGGGAATGTAAGTTCCCAGCTTAAACACTATAACCCTTGGAGCATGAAATGTCACCAGCAGCAGTTACAGAGAATGAAGGAGAATGCAAAACATCGGAACCAGTACAGTATCCTTTGTTCATAGGGCATCTCTGTTGGGGAGAGGGGAGAGTAAGTGAGGAGAGAGAATTTGAATTTTTTTATTCATGGTTGTGCCAGGACACCCTATGTGATAACCATGGGAAAATATCACTTCCCTCCGGGCCGAGGGCTGGTCTGGGATTGCAGGTGGGAGCAAATGTGTTTGTTTCTCTTAGGATTATATAATTTCATATAATTTGATTTATAGGCTTGATCAGATTCAGCTTCAGTTTTGGTGGGGGTGGTGGCAGGAATCCCTCAGAGATGGTATTGTATTTGTCCATTAGGAAGCACAGTGTTTAGTTTTCTTTGTCTTTTGTATGCCATTGCCTTAGATCCATTTTTTTATTAGGTGATTTTCTAATTTTGTCCTTCTTCATTCGTTAGCTGGCATCCTTCTGTGAAGAGAAACTTTTCCTCATCAATTATGTGCTTATCCTGAGGTATAGTTTGTATAGGAAAGGCAGGTTAAATGTCTATTTTCCTTTATTTACTAGATGTTTGGAATGATGGGTGAGTTTTTTAACATCCTCCAAAGGCAACAAGTGAGTTTTTCAGTATCATTATGAATCCATGAATTTAAACATTTTGACGTGTTTTAGTCCATTGAAGTTATCTTTTTTTTTTCTTTGTGAGGAAGATCAGCCCTGACCTAACATCCATGCCAATCCTCCACTTTTTTTGCTGAGGAAGACTGGCCCTGGGCTAACATCCATGCCCACCTTCCTCCACTTTATGCGGGACGCCGCCACAGCACGGCCTGACAAGCAGTGCGTTGGTGCGTGCCCGGGATCCGAACCCGGGCCGCCAGCAGTGGAGCGCGCACACTTAACAGCTATGCCACAGGGCCGGCCCCTGAAGTTGTTATCTTTACTGATGTTCAAATTATCCCATGTTTGGCCTGTAGGAGCTTTTCAAAATAGGTCTCTGAATCATTTTGACACAATCACAGTAGTCTGTGATGGCTATCTGACTTGCTGGTATGAAAAGATGGTCCGGGGTCATGTATGTTTCATACTCCAGATGTGAATTCAATCATTCCTCTAAGGCAGGGGTCGCAAACATTTCCAGTAAAGGGCCAAATAGTAAATCTTTTTAGGTTTTGCAGGTCATATACTCTGTCACAACTCTGTCATTGTAGCATGAAAGTAGCCATGGACAATAATGTAAATGAGTGAGCATGGCTCTATTCCAATAAAACTCTATTTATGGTCACTGAGATTTGAATTTCATTTAATTTTCCTGTGTCATGAAGTATTATATATACATTTTTTGACATCTTAAAAATATAAGAACCATTTCTAGCTTACAGCCTGTACAGCAATGAGCAGGGAGCCATAGTTCACCAATCCCTGCTCTAGGAGCACTGGTCTGGGCACTAGGGGTGCTCATACATCTGGTCATTGTTTCTAGACATTTTCAGTATACACAGCTAGGAAATACACATTTTAAAGAGAAAACTTTTCATGAGTTCATACTTATATTTTCAATTCATATTTAAGGCTACAGGATTTACTGAACTTATTTGATGTTCTGTTTATAATTTAGGACTGTATGCTGTTGGACCTGGTCCCACACCTTGCTGAGTTCAGGAAATGATGTGTGTGTCTCCCAGTCTGGGGAGACCCAGGCTGTTCTCAGGCCAGTTCCCTGACAAGAATTGAAGGTGCCTTTTAGCCCCCTAGTCAGCCTTGGGCTCCCTGCATGAGACATAGCAGGACTGATGGGGCCCTGTGTGGACCTAGGCTTTTCTGAGGCACTGTGTGCAGGAATTGTGCCCTGGGAGTGCCAAGGCCCCATGCAGCAGCACCTTCTCTTTAGAGGGGGGATTGTCCTTAACTACTCAGAATTTATCTTACTGGAGAACCTGACTTCCCACTATGAGGTGCCTTGTGTCCTGGACCTCAAGATGGGTACACGCCAGCATGGTGACGATGCTTCAGAGGAGAAGGCAGCCAACCAGATCCGCAAATGCCAGCAGAGCACATCTGCGGTTATCGGTGTCCGTGTGTGTGGCATGCAGGTGAGGGAAGTGCTGGTGCGTGGCAGGGGCTGGCTAGGGCATCTAGTAGCTGCTGCCCCCCCACCCTAGCATAGTCCTGTTTTCTCAAAAGATTCCATATTTGACTGAGTGAGTCTGTCACTTTCTGGTTAGAAAAGAAAGCATGCGTGCCTAGGTGATCCCCTGTGGGACTGGCCAGGCTGGCTGAGTCCAGAGTCTGTGGACAGGAGAGGGAAGGGAAGGCAAGATGGTTAGGCCGTCTCCATTAGCCCATACATTGAGCAGAGGGCTGGGGACAGAACCCAAGTCAGAGGGCTGCATCCCAAGTGAGTGTTGATCAGAGAGGACAGTGTCTCGTGTGACTGGTGTACTTAAGTTAAAGGATTTGATCCAGGCTGTCATATTTCTGCCACTCCCCAGGGTCCAAGCTCTGAGGTGGCTGTGAGCACCTGACCTTCTGGTCTCCCTTCCACAGGTGTACCAGGCAGGCAGTGGGCAGCTCATGTTCATGAACAAGTACCATGGACGGAACCTATCAGTGCAGGGCTTCAAGGAGGCCCTTTTCCAGTTCTTCCACAACGGGCGGTACCTGCGCCGTGAGCTCCTGGGCCCTGTGCTTAAGAAGCTGGCTGAGCTCAAGGCTATTTTGGAGCGACAGGAGTCCTACCGCTTCTATTCAAGCTCCCTGCTGATCATCTACGATGGCAAGGAACGGCCTGAGGTCGCCCTGGACTCAGATGCTGAGGACTTGGAGGACCTGTCAGAAGAGTCAGCTGATGAGTCTGCTGGTGCCTATGCCTACAAGCCCATTGGTGCCAGCTCAGTGGATGTGCGCATGATTGACTTTGCACATACCACCTGCAGGCTGTATGGCGAGGACAGCGTGGTACATGAGGGCCAGGATGCTGGCTATATCTTCGGGCTCCAGAGCCTGATAGACATTGTTACAGAGATAAGTGAGGAAGGTGGGGAGTGAGCTTGCGGGCTGTACCAGCACCTGAGAGACTCTCTGTATCCCAGGCACAGCTGTGCTGCGTCAGGGAGGAGGCCAGTATGGCCAGGCGGTAGCCCCTGCAGCCTGGAGCTGATGTGCAGAGGCCTCTGTGAGTCCCAGCCTGAGCCAGCCCCAACCGCGCTCGGAGTCTATTTATTTTAACTATTTCTTCAACATTCCATATTTGATGATGCAGATACCTCTTTCTTCCCTGAGTGTAAATGTTCTAATACAGATCTTTTTGTTAATTGTACACAGTGCTGCTGTCGTTCTTGCCAGGGGCAGGCAGCCAGCCCCACTCCCAACCTTCAGAAGCCTCACACATGCCGTGACTTCCACCCTGGCCCAGCAATATTCTTCTTGCTGCTGCCCGTACCCTATGGACCATGAAGTCACCACAGTCTCTTGGCTTCATCCTCAGTCCCCTAAGCTAGCACCCTGAGGTCACCCAGAAAGCCAGAAGGACTCCTACACACATAACCTTAGGTCCCTCTGGGGTCTTTGCTGGCCTAGTGTCCCAGCACCCCCTATGCCCAGCACCCCCTATGCAAAGAACTGCACTTGACTCTTGACACAGGTCTTTCCCTGCCCTCACACAGGTTAAGCCAAAGTTGGGCAACAGGTGATCCAAACCTTGAGTCCAGCTCCTGTGCCACCAGCACCAGCTAACTGGCTGGACATTGTGATGTCAGGTGTCCTGAAGCCAATACTGGGGCCTCAAGTAGCCACCAGGCTCTGATCTGTTGGCAGCCGTGGGCTCTGTGGTAGAGTCCAGGAGGGGGAGTCTCAATGAGAGAATCTTCTAGGCAGGGTGGTCCTCTTAGCCATACCACCTGTCACCACTCCTACCCAGCCCTGGGCCCCACCACAACTATGTCAGTCTCATCTTTCATGCGGCTCCAGCCATGGCAGCCCCTAAGAGCAACGTTTGTGCTAGGAGGGTTTCTGGGAGGAGGAGGTATGGCAGGAGTCATGAACTGCAGAAACACACCAGAGAAGGGCACAGACCCGGTGGCAAGAAGGCAGGGTCTGGATGTACAGTTCCAGCAGCCCCACCCCTTTCCTGAACCTCCCAGCATCTCTCCAAGGTCCATTATGCCAGTGTACACTATGTCCCAAAACAGGCCAACTGCATACACTGGCCTTGTTGTGCCCACATTCCCTGCTCCCTGGGGCCAGGCTTCCACTGGGGAATTGGCTGGACCGGCCCTTGTGGACAGGAATGGGAGGCCCCCAGGAGCCCTCTCCCTAGGACCCTTGGGGCCTCTCCCCTGGGTTCCCCCTACCCCTTGTAGGACTTCAAAGACAGGTGAGGGCTGACTGGAAAGGTGGGCAGGTCAAACAAGCTCTTAAGGCTACACAGCACCCCACTTCCCACCCTCCACCAGTCCTCCTGTCTGCTCACAGAGGGGAGCATCACAAATAACGTGGAGTTGTAAATCCTATAAAGACAATAGAACAATGTGATAGCGATTGATAGGAGTGGGAGCGGGGACTTTATGCTGTGAGGGAGGGAAATGTGTCCCAGGCAGAGGAAACAAATGCAAAGACCCACGTTAGGAAAAAAGAAGCTGGTGGCTGAGGAGAGGAGATGGGTGGGGAGCGAGGATGGGAGGATTTTGGACAGGGGTATGGCACGACCTGGTTTTTGCGACCTCCCGCTCTTGCTCCGCATTGCGCTTGGAGTCGTAGAGGTCCAGTGCAGAAGGGGCCGCAGACTCTTGAGCCGCGCCGGGCCACACCTCTTGGGTCCGCCAGGGGGCGCCGCGCTTCCGTGCAGGGGCCGACACACTCCCAGGGCAGGGCTGGAGCGGGGCTGCGGCGGGCAGGCACGCGCGCGCACGCGTCGTGTGTCACGGGGCGGGGCGAGGGCGGCGCGACGTTCCCGGCCTGGTGTCCTGTTTCCGCAGCCCCCGCCGCCTACCTTGCTCCGGCGGGCCGGGTGCGGCCCCATGTACCGCGCGCTGTATGCGTTCCGCTCGGCGGAGCCCAACGCTCTGGCGTTCGCCGCGGGCGAGACCTTCCTGGTGCTGGAGCGCAGCAGCGCGCACTGGTGGCTGGCGGCGCGGGCGCGCAGTGGCGAGACGGGCTACGTGCCGCCCGCCTACCTGCGCCGCCTGCAGGTGAGTGTGCCCCTCTCCAGCCCGGCCTCCACTGCCCCTAGACTGGGCCATCACAGGCTCACAGGACCGAACCCGGAACCCCGGATCCACCGGGACCTCCAACAGATAGGGAGTTTGAGAACTGACCCTGAGACCCCAGACCCACGAGGACTGGGACCGCAAGAGCCCGCACCGCTGCAAAAGACCAGGTCATTGACAGCCACCTCTGAGGACTCCAGACCTACCAGAAGCCTGACTCTGGGACTGAGACTCCTTGGGATCCCAGACCCGTCTGGACCTCATGTCTGAACCCCCCATCTCCATAGAATTCAAGAGTCAGCCCTGAGATTCCAGCACCACCGAATACTGACCAGTTCCCCAGATCCCTGAGACCCCAGATCCTTAATCCGCCCCTTCCCTGGATCCCCAGGATCCCGCACTCTTGCCTCCCACCCTATCCCACCCATCCCCAATTGGAGCCACTCCTTCCATCACTGAGACCCAGGCCACCCTGGACACCACCTGTTCCCCAACCATTCTCGATGTCCTCACCGCCCCCTCCCACCTTGGACCCTGGAGCCATAGACACCCCCATCCCCTAGATGATCCCGGAAGCCCTGAGGCCTCAGTGTCTTTCACTGCCCTGTACTCAGCCACCCCCTAAGCTCTTCCTAAGACACTCCCCCACCCCCAACCCTCTTTGAGCGGAGGATCCCAGCCCCTGCTGACACTCCCTGGCACTACTCTCCCCACCCTCCCTCACAAGCCTCAGGCCCTGACTTGCCAGACTTTCTTTCTCTGAAAGTGAGGGAGCTCTTCCTCCTTGTGCCCAGCCTGGAGTGGGGGCTGCTCCCATTATGAGGAAGTGAGACCTCCCGGTGGCTTCCCCTGGTCTGACTATGGCCCTATTTCCTTCCAGTGGAGGCTGCAGCCCCATTTTCTGTTCCCCAAGAATAGTCCTGCTATGGGGACTGGGGTGCAGTGTCTCCAGCTGGTCTATTCTGATCACACAGGGATGGAGGGCCTGGAGCCTCCAGGCCTGGCCTGTGCCAGACACCCCGGCCCCATGCTAGTCCCTAGCCTTTAGGAAACATCTTGTCCTAGCCCAGTTCAGGACAAAAATAACAGGATAAATTTGGAGATGTCATCTGGTCTTACCAGAGGGGATGGGCCCTGGGCCCTGGACCCTCGGCCTGATCCCATCTAGGAGTGCCTGGGGCGAGAGTGGGGAGCCCTAGACACCAGGGCTGCTGGTTCTGGAGTGAGGGTGTCAGACCCAGCCTCTCTGGGGCTGGGGGCCTCTGAGGAAAGTCCTGCCTCTTCCCCAAAGTCCTGTGAGGCCCCTCCCCCAGCCAGGGCCAGTGTGGCTGGGTGTTGGGGGAGTGCAGAGAGGCTAGGATCTTCTCTATCTCTTGGTTTCTTTCTGTATATCTCTCTCTATCTCAGTCTCCCTAACTCTGCGTCTCTGTGTCATTCTGACTCTCCGCCTGTGTGTGTCTCTTCCTTCCTCCGACTCTCTCCCCTTCTGTCTCCGGCTCTCAATTTCTTTCTGCGCTATCTCTCTCTGCCTTGTCCCTCCCCACCCTTCTTACTTTCTATGTGTATGTGTGTCTTTCTCTTTCTCCCCCCTTTCTGTCTGCTGTCTCCCTGCACTCTGGCATACCCATGCTGCCTCGGGGGTTTTGCTGACTTCTGTGTCTGTCTGTCTGTCCCCATCAGGGAAGCTTCTCCAACCCACTCTGGAGTGACATCACCTCAGTTCTGAGGCTCCTATGTAGCCTAATGAACCATGTGTGCCAAGGACAGGGGAGGGGTGGAGGTGGCTGGTCCCACAGCTGCTACTGCCTACTCCCTACCCCATGCCAGGCAGGCTGGGTAGATTGGACCCTTGAGTTGCTAGGGATGACAACACAGAATCTGGGACAGGGACCAGGCCCTTCTTTCATATCTGTCCTTTGCTACAAACACAGAACTGCTGCTTTCTAGGGCAGGTCTGGAAGATTCCTAGAACAGTTTGAGGGGATGAGAGCTGGCAGCAGGGGCAGGGAGAGGAGATCCTTCGGGCCCATCCGCAGCTACCAAGGCCTGCAGAAAGCTCTATGAGGACAGGGCTGCTCTGGAGTGTGACCTTGGTTTTGTGAAGGCTCAGCAAGATCCAGAGTGATTTATTAAGGGTTGCAGAGACTATGGGCTCCCTGCTTGGCATCTCAGCATAGGCTCTAAGCCAAGCCTGGGGATAGACTAGGTGTGTACTGTTGGCCTCAAGTTGAGGGTCCCTGGGCTGTGTTTTTGCTCTAGACCTCTGGTTTTCTTTTTTTTTTTTTATAATTTTATTTATTTATTTATTTTCCCCCCAAAGCCCCAGTAGATAGTTGTATGTCACAGTTGCACATCCTTCTAGTTGCTGTATGTGGGACGCAGCCTCAGCATGGCCGGAGAAGCAGTGCGTTGGTGCGCGCCCGGGATCCGAACCCGGGCCGCCAGCAGCGGAGTGCACGCACTTAACCGCTAAGCCACGGGGCCTGCCCTAGACCTCTGGTTTTCTGAGACATCGTAGCTGAGAACCTCACTGTGGGGTAAAATCCTGAGCAAGGCCCCAATATGTAAAGTGGCCACATGGGAGCCACCCCGTGCCTCAGCTCCCTGAGTGGTGCCGTTTGAGAACCCCATTTCATATTCTAGCTCAACATTCCCTGTTTACATCTAGCATTCCAGGCTTTAGCTGTAATGGTCCTCCATCTGCCTCAGGCTCTATCCTGAGCTAGGTCTGGGCTCAGTACCCTCACTTGGTACCCAGGTCTAACTGTACCCCTGCCCCCCCGCCCCCAGGGCCTGGAGCAGGATGTCCTCCAGGCTATCGACCGGGCCATTGAGGCTGTGCACAATGCAGCCATGCGGAATGGTGGCAAGTACAGCCTGGAGCAGCGTGGAGTCCTCCAGTGAGTGTGGGGGAGGGGGTGGTCTTTCAGTGAGTACTGGGGATGTGCTGAGGGCAGGGTTGAGGGTCGTGCAGAGTGGGGTGGAACATGAGGGAGGTGGGAAGTGGAAGGGGCCTGGGCTGTGGGGACCCCCACATCCCACTGGGAGCGTGTGAGGACTTTGGGAGTTGTAAGGTAATTCCTCTGTTAATCTCGCTATTCTTCCATCAGGAAGCTGATCCACCACCGGAAAGAGATCTTGTCCCGCAGAGGCCCCTCAGCCTCCAGCCCTGCATCTATGACCCCATCCACCAGTGACCACTATCTGGATGCTGCTGCTGCCAGGCAGCCCAATGGCGTGTGTCAAGCAGGGTTTGAGCGGCAGCACAGCCTGCCCAGTTCTGAGTATCTTGGGGCAGATGGAGGCCTCTACCAGGTACATGGTGAGAACATCCTGGAGAAGGGAGGTGGGTGAGACTTAAGACTTTGTCCAGAGGCTCAAAGGGTCCACTCGGGTCAATGAGGCAGCCCAGAGCCATAGCCTGCCCATGCCAAGAGCTCAGGGCCCTAGCCAGGCTGGTACCCCAGATGGCAGCCTGTCCTCCCAGATCCCACTTCTGTCTTCTTAGATCCCATCACAGCCTCGCCGAGCAGCACCTGCCACGCCACCCCCACCCGTGAAGCGCCGAGACTGTGAGGCCCTGGTGGTCTCAGGGAGTGGTGAGAAGGCAGGGTTTGGGGGAATTGGGCACCCTGTGCTTGGAGTGGTTGCTCTGCCTGTGTCAGGGAGTTGGGTACCCTAGGCTTGGGGGTAGACAGGGCATATGTTGGGGCAACTTGGGGCTCTGGGCTTGGTGGTGAAGGTCTAGCAGAAGAAGTAGGCCCTGTACTGGGAAACAGGGGCCCTGGGCTTGGAGGGGTAGGGGCCCCCAGGGGGCTGCCCCAGCACAGCATCCACTCTCTGCCCACAGGTGGCCGCAACACCGCGCCCTCTGGGGACAATTCTGTGTCCAGCGGCTCCTCAGTCAGCAGCACCTCCCTTGACACACTCTATACCGGCTCCAGCTCATCTGAGCTGGGCCCCAGTTGTTCAGCCACGCCCCCACCTGTGCCCCGCCGAAGCACCCATACCACCATGTCCCAAGCTCAGCTCCCTCCCTCCAAGTTGCCAGCCCCCGAGCCTCCTACAGAGGAGGTAGCAGTTGACACAACCTCAGCCCCTGATGAGCTGGAGGCCCTGGGTGCGCTGAGTCTGGGGACCACAGAGGAGAAGGCAGTGGCTGAGACTGCCGTACCCAGGACCATCGGGGCAGAGCTGATGGAGCTTGTGCGGAGAAACACCGGCCTGAGCCATGAGCTATGCCGCGTGGCCATTGGCATTGTGGTGGGTCACATCCAGGCCTCCGTGCCAGCCATCTCACCTGTCATGGAGCAGGTCCTCCTCTCGCTGGTAGAGGGCAAGGTGAGGGTGGGCAGCAGGGCTGGGGGCCTCCCCATCCTTGGCTGCCCTGCTGCCCCCACCCCTTTCCCACCCTCACACTGCATCCAGCCTTCACTTGACAGGTATCTGTTGAGCTCTAGCTCTGGGCCTTCATTGTGCTGGGTCCTGCGGACATTTGAACCTATCCCTGAAGGAGAGAGGGAGGAAGAGCATTCCAGGCAGAGGCTCAGCCTAGACCAGGGCCATGAGGCAGGACTGAGCTTGGCTTACAGGAGGAAGTGGAAGCAGGCCGGCATGGCTGGAATACAGGGAATGAGGGAGCAGGTGGTGTGGGAGGAGGTGAGACCTGGGGCGGATGACAGTTGAGACCAGATATGGGTAGCCAAGAATTCTCTCTGGCTGCAAGGAAGGAATGGACATAGGGCATGAGACAGGGCAGTGCCTTGTTGGCCATGGCAGTGGAGAGAAATAGGTGCTTCGAAAGCTGTGACGAAGGCCTAAGTGCTGACTCAGGTGTGCATGAATTGTGTGGGCATCATGGGTGGGTGGGATCCTTGGCCAAGGTTGGGCTACTGGTCAGGGAGCAGGATTGGAGGGCAGTGAGCCCAGTCTACACAATGGGGTCCAGATGGGCCAGAAGTCCCTCCTTAGGGCTCCATGGCTCCTGCAGCTCTGGTTTGGGGTCGAGGGAGCAGTGGGTCAATGGACTTGCCTGTGCTGGGTACAGCAGGCACTGCCCGGCCAGCAGGGTTCAAGGGGAACATGGGAGGTGGATAGATGACAGGCCTGGTGCCACTTTGTGTAGAATCGGAGGGTAGAATCTCAGAGTTGTTCAGTCAGTGACAGAGTCCATGGCCTTCTTGGAGAATGTTTATCCAGTTCTGGGTTGACAGGCAAGTTGGAAAACAGCGCACAGATGTGTCTCACACAGAATCCTGTCCCAGGAGGTTGTCAAGACTAGGGGGCAGTGGAGTTATTTGGAGAGGGGTGTAGAACTGGACCAGTGCCCTTGGGAGCCTTGATGTTGAGGGATGAGCCATGGGAGCAGGTCTTTTCTAGGAGCTTGAGGGGGAGCAGTGGGGAGGAGGGAAAAGAACCAGGAGCTGATTCTCTCGCAGCTCCTGGGAAGGATACTGACTAGGGGCAGTTCTGGTAGGTAAGTCTGGGGGTCCTTGCCTGACGCTGGCCTAGAGCTCATGCCCGTGACCTCAGGGTCTGGGTTGAGCTCCAGGCCTTGGGGACTTCATGGAGATGGTGATGGGCAAGGAGTATGCTGAGCCTTGCCTTGCCCTCTCCCCCTAGGACCTGAGCACTGCCTTGCCCTCAGGGCAGGTCTGTCATGACCAGCAGCGGTTGGAAGTGATCTTTGCAGACCTGGCTCGGCGGAAGGACGATGCCCAGCAGCGCAGCTGGGCACTGTATGAGGATGAGGGTGTCATCCGCTGCTACCTGGAGGAGCTGCTGCACATTCTGGTATGGGGTAGGGGCCCCACAGGTATCCCCCAGTATGCGGAGCAGCAGCCCCTACCTTGCCCCATCTCTCTTCAATGCTCAGGAGTCTCCCCTACGTGTACTCAGCTTGCTCACATGTGGCTGCACGGCTCAGTAACTATCCCATTTCCTCCTTTTCACAGACTGACGCAGACCCTGAAGTTTGCAAGAAAATGTGCAAGAGAAACGAATTCGAATCTGTCCTGGCCTTGGTGGCCTACTACCAAATGGTGTGTGCGAGACAGAGGGGCGGGGCATGGAGGGTCCTGGGTAGAGGTCGAGGTTCAGTGCACTGAGCACACAGGCTTCCCTGCCAGGAGCACCGGGTGTCACTCCGGCTACTGCTGCTCAAGTGCTTTGGCGCCATGTGCAGCCTGGATGCAGCCATCATCTCCACACTTGTGTCATCAGTGCTGCCTGTGGAGCTGGCGCGGGACATGCAGACAGACACGCAGGGTGAGGCGAGGGGGAGCTTCCTGCCATCTGTGGGGGGGTTTCCCACCATCTGTAGGGGCTCTGACTGCCTGCCCTGCCCCTCCAGATCACCAGAAACTCTGTTACTCCGCCCTCATCCTGGCCATGGTCTTCTCCATGGGGGAGGCAGTGCCCTACGCACACTATGGTAAGAAGGCAGGTTGCTTTACCTGCTGACTGCAGAGAGCCCACAGCCAGTTGAAGATGGCGCCCATGGCCTAAGGGGCTGGGGACCCACTGACCATAGCCTGACAGGGATAGGGTGTCCACAAGGCTCACAGAAACCCAGGGAGGCTGGGTGGTGTGGGCAGGGGCAGGGCTGCAGACTTCCCTGTGCCCTTCTCCCAGAGCACCTGGGCACGCCCTTTGCCCAGTTCCTGCTGAGCATTGTCGAGGACGGGCTGCCCTCGGATACCACAGAACAGCTGCCGGATCTCTGCATGAACCTGCTTCTGGCTCTCAACTTACACCTGCCAGGTGGGGTTGGGGCCCAGCGGGAGGTGGCTGACCAGCTAGGGGGTTCTCCAGGCTTGGCACCTGTGCTCTTGTCTACACTCGTGTCCTTCCTCAGCCCCTGACCAGAACGTCATCATGGCTGCCCTGAGCAAACATGCCAATGTCAAGATCTTCTCCGAGAAGCTGCTGTTACTCCTGAACAGAGGAGGTGAGGGTCCAGGAATCTGTCCGGTGCCACTTTGATGTCCTGTGACTCCATGACCCCCATAACTCCCCAGGGGTGACTCTGGGCTCCCTGTGAGACCCCTCTTCCCCCTGCCTCCTAGACGACCCTGTGCGCATCTTCAAACATGAGCCTCAGCCGCCACACTCCATCCTCAAGTTCCTGCAGGACGTGTTTGCCAGCCCTGCCACGGCTGCCATCTTCTACCACACGGACATGATGGCGCTCATCGACATCACTGTGCGGCACATCGCGGACCTGTCACCTGGAGACAAGGTGCCTGGAGGTGGCTGCAGCGGGGATGGTAGCTGTGTAGAAACTGAAACAAAATGGGGGGACATGACACTGAATGGAGACGAGGGACAAGGGCATTGCTGGAGCCAGGTAAGTGTGGGAGGCCACTCAGAAACCATGACAGGTGTGCCAAGACGTAAAGGAGCCAGGCATGAGGTGATCTGGGGGTGGGCTATCTGGAGAAAGCTGGAGTGGGGGGAATAGTGGGAGGTGAGGAAAGAGGAGGTAGAGTTTACACAAAGCCTTGGAGGTTGTGATCTCTTCTCAGAGGAAGGGGAGGTGATCTGATTAACATCCTGAACGTAATATAGGCTGTATGAGAGCACAGTTTCTCATACAGTCTACATTAGGTAGAGGCTAGAGGGATGCTGGTGAGGAAGCAGCCGCAGCTGTCCAGGGGGTCCAGATGGCCGGGGGAGAGGCTGTGGCGGTGGGAGAAGAGGTCAGCTTTGCGTGTGTTGGAAGTGGGTCTGGCAGGGCTTGTGGCTGGAAGTGCTGGGGTCTGGTCAGTGGATTGGGCGTCTCAGTGAGGAGGAGCAGCAGCTTGGGTGTCAGATTGGAGGGGCTATTGGAGCTGTCCAAGCCAGAGGGGCTTGGGGGAGGGCTGAGGGAGCGGGTGTTGGAGATGGATTCAGGGCATCTGTGGAAGGTAAGATGGCCAGGTCTTAGGGATGGATTGGAAATGGGGTGTGTGGAGAGAGAGGGATCAAAGATGACACTTCTGTTTCTGGCCTGTGCTTTTTATTAAGAACATGAGAAAGGCTTCAGCTTTGGGAAGATGGGGAATATCATGAGTTTGATGGTGGATATATAGGTTTGAGGGCTCTTTGAGATATGCAGGAGATGACAAGTGGGCAGTTGGATATTCTCATCTGGAACTCACCGGCGAGGTCCAGGTGAAAGGTATGAGTATGGGTCACCACTTGAAGCTGTGAGTATGAATGAGATCTTCCAAGGTGAGAGGATAAAGTGAGAAGCAGAGGGCCTCTGACTGCAGACAGTGGCACCAGCATTAAAGGATGGGCAGAGAGGGCCTTGCCACCTCTCTGAGCCAGGACTTCCCTGGGCCAACCACATTCTGGGACTGTTTGTGTCTGGGATGATTCATTCATTCACTTACTTATTCAACAACTATCGAAGGCCAGTCCTGTGCGAGGTACATTCTGGGTGCTGGGGGTGCAACCCTGACCTTCAGTGGTGTGAGGTGGTCCGCAGCCCTGGGGTCAGTGTAGCTGCCGTGAGGGAATAGTGGCCTGTCCCTGTCTGGTAGCAGTCACAGTGCCTCCCTGGAGTCCCTGAGCTTGCCTGCTCTTCCCACAGCTGCGCATGGAGTACCTCTCCCTGATGCATGCTGTGATCCGCTCCACACCCTACCTGCAGCACTGCCACCGGCTACCCGACCTGCAGGCCACACTACGACGCATCCTGACCGAGGAGGAAGCCTCGCCCCAATGCCAGATGGACCGCATGATTGTCCGAGAGATGTGCAAGGAATTCCCAGTGCTCGGCAAGGCCCCCAGCTAGCACCTTCCTCTCCTCTTCCCTGCAGTCCTGGGCAGGGTGCAGGGAACTTGGAGGCTTGGCCCTAAGAATGTTTTGCACTGACAGTGTGAGGGGAAGTGGTGGTGGAAAGGACCTGAGCAGGGCCCGCACCTGAAGTAGAGATAATGTGAGGGGCCAAGTGCAGGTTTGGGGACCACGCTCTGGGAGCTATGCTGGGGTAGGGGGAATGTGTCAGCTGAAGCCCCTCCATCTCCCAGTGGGCTGCCTCTTCAGCATGCCTGCCTCCCAACATACACATGCATACTCAGAGTCCTGCTGCTGCTCCAGGCTGGGCCAGAACCCCCATCCCCACCCTGCCTGGTCTGTGTCCTGGGCCTCAGCAAGCCATGTCCTTGGGGTGAGGGGGGGCACCTTCCGCCAGCTCTGTTCTTTGCCTTAGCTTTGCAGTGAGTGCTGCTCATGTGCTCCCCCAGCCCCACTCCCCATGGGGGCCACTGCCCCTCACTCCCACCCCCAGGAGTCTTGGCCAGGCTGCTGCTGTGAAAGCAGAATCTTGGAGATAGACCATCCATCCCGGAGCCTCAGAATGGGATGATGGTGCTGAAAAGTGACAGAATCTATTTTCTCTGTAAAAATGTAGACTAAAAAGCCATGTATATTGTTCTACGTGCTGCAGCTCACCTTTGGAAATAAATCACAGGCATCTGGAAACAGGCTTCCCTATATGGTCCTGGGTGGTGGTGGGAGAGGATGGGCAGGGGCGCTGAGGCCTCAAGACCTCATCACTAGCTTGCCCTAACCTCTCCTGCGTGAGGAGGTGATAGTCCCTGACAGGCCTGTCCATCAAGGTCCGTTGAGCCCTATTTCAGCCTCTCTTCTCTGAGTTCCCACTTCTCTTGGGCCACAGCCGAGTGCCCCATGGTCCATTTGCAGGTGACTTACATCCAGGCTTCACTTACATCTTTCTTTGCCTTGAATGCCGTCTCTCTCTCCCCTGTTGAAACCCTAACCTTCATTACTGTTCTCAAACGAAGCAGGTGCTGCCCCAGCCCTGGCCTCCCCAATCGCCTAGGCCCTGCTCAGCTCTGTTTCCCTTCCTCATTTGTCATTGGGCCCAACAAGATCCCCTCATTTTGCGGCCTCAGCAGAGATGTGGTAATTACAGTAGAGCAAAGAGAGTATTTCAACAAGTGTGGGGTTAGATTTGCACTACTGTTTGAGGGGAATTAGGGGCCAACGTTAGGCCAAAACTTCGTTTTCCTTGTGGGCTCCCAAGCTAACAAAGACTCTTGTCATAAGTGGGAGAGGAGAGTCAGGAACCTACAGGCAGACACAAGTCAGAAGTACTTTTCATCAGTTCCCTTCATTTTTTACCTAAGATGATTTCATCACATGATTCCACACATCCAGAATCATTGATACTGTGACTTCCGGTCACGACTTTTCCTTTTTCATTGGGGTGCTGAAGGCAGAGGGCTCTTATTCTCCCAGCAAGACTATAAGGCAGCAAGAAGCACAGAGAGGCCAGGGCTAGTGGCGGAGTCCCCAGGAAACAGGTCCTCAGGAAGCTGAGGCAGGAACACTTGACAGAACCTGTGGAAGCGAAGCACAGGAGGCCGATAGGGAGACATCCTTCCTTAACTGTTGACTCTTTCAGAAGGTTAAGCACACAGGCTCAACTGGATCTGAGGAGGGGATAACAAAATGGCCCCCAGTAAAGCTCTGTGTGGCACAACCTGGTCACTCCTCTTCATCCTGGAGGCATTCTGCCTCCCCTTTCTCATCCAGGATCAATGACATTGACTTCCAGTCACGACTGTTTTCTCATTGTAGTGCTGAAGGCAGAGAACCATGAGTCTCCTCCTGAGATAGTGTAATTCAGTGAAAAGCACAAGTCCTCAGGAAGCTGAGGCAGAACATTTGACAGCCTCTGTGCCTTGCTCTGTCCCCTGCTATGATGCACATACTGATCTTGTGGGAAGAGCGGGGCTGTGCTGCGCGATCTGTCCCAGTGCTGGCACCTGTGACAAAGTGTGGCCCGACGGCAAGAGGATCAGGAGCCCCTGCTGCTTCTGCACAATTGTGCAAGGGGCCCTTGCACTTGTTTGTAAGGGATGCAGGAGGCCCACCTGACAAAGTTAAATGCTGGCCCCTGGCAACAAACAGACGCTCTGCGAGGGTCCAAGACTCCAGCACCCCCTCAGCAAACACTTTGATGATGGTCTCACAACACAGAATTACAACCACAAGGGAAAATGATGATTAGCCAGAGAATTCCTCAGGGAGGGGACTGTCTGTGAGAGAACGTTTTGGCTGCTTGGAAGGATGGGATGTAGCTAGGCAGGGAGAGGGCAAAGAGAGAAAACTAAGCTGCTCAAAGAAAGGAGTGTGGGTGGGGTTGAAAAGAAAAAACTCAAGAAATTTTGAGGGGCAATGAGGGATAGGAGTTTGGGCTGACCTCTGGACTAGAAATGGTGCCTTTAGGTGCTGGCGCCATGACTGTGGAAGATGCGCTATGGACCACAGGTTGCAACTCTAGGTTGCACAGGGCAACTCCAGGGTAAGGAGTTAAGTGAAGATCACCTGCCTGCTCAGTCCCCAAAAGATACAGACTGAGGCTCCAAGGAGGTGAGGACAACCTTTTCTTTTTCTCTTGTTTTTATGGAAGAATAACATACTATGAAAAGTACAGTATGCAAAGAGTACAGCTGAATGAATTCCAACAGAGAATGCTAAGATGACCACTACCCTGGTCAAGAAATAGAGTATCACCAGTCTCCAAAGCCCACTTGTGCACCCTGTCTTAATCACTGACTCCCTCTTCCTCCCCAGACCTCCTCCCTAGAGGTAATTGCAGATAAGTTTTGCCTTGTTAATGTAAATGGAATCATAACAGTATAAACTCTTGTTTCTGGCTGCTTCACTCACCATTAAGTTTTTGAGATTTGTCCATGTCATACTATGTGGTTGCAATTTGTTCGTTCCCGATGTTGTGGGATATACCCTCATTTATCCACTGTTGATGACCTTTTGGTTGTTTCCAATTTATGTCCATTACGAATAGTGCTCTCAGGAGCATTGTACATGTCTTCTTGCACATATGCATTGTACTGGGGGGTATGTTCTCAAGAGTGGAATTGCAGGGTCACAGGCAGCTACTGCCAGATAGTTTTCCAAAGTAGTTGTACCAATGAACATTCCTCCAGTAGTGCTGAGAGTTCCATCTCTTCCATATCTTTCCCCAAACTTGGTATTGTCAGTTATTTTTTTTTTTTTAAAGATTTTATTTATTTATTTTTCCCCCAACGCCCCAGTAGATAGTTGTATGGCATAGCTGCACATCCTTCCAGTTGCTGTACGTGGGACGCGGCCTCAGCATGGCCGGAGAAGCGGTGCGTCGGTGCGATCCCGGGATCCGAACCCGGGCCGCCAGCAGCGGAGCGCACGCACTTAACCACCAAGCCACGGGGCCGGCCGTCAGTTATTTTTAATTTAGGCATTCTGGTAGAGTATAGTAGTATTTATTTTTAACTTTGCGTTTCCCTGATGACTAAAGAGGTTGAGCACCTTTTCATTAGTTTACTGGCTATTTAGATCTTCTGTTTTGTGAAGCACCTGTTCAAATCTCTTGCCTATTCATCTGCTGGGTTGTCTATCTTTTACTGATTTGTAGTATGTATTTGGGATATAAGTCTTTGGGTTGTATATCTTATATATCTTCTCCCACTCTTAATGTTGTCTTTTGATGAAAGGAAGTTCTTAATTGTAATGTAATCCAGTTTTTCAGGATTTTCATTTATGGTTAGTGCATTTTGTATCCTGTTAAAAAAATCTTTTCTTAAAGTCATGAAGACTTTCTGTGTCTTCTCCTAAAAGCTATATTGTCTTTGCTTTCATAATCAGGTGTCAAATCTATCTGGAATTGGGCCGGCCCCGTGGCTTAGCGGTTAAGTGCGTGCGCTCCGCTACTGGCGGCCCGGGTTTGCACCCGGGGCGCGCACCGACGCACTGCTTCTCTGGCCATGTTGAGGCCGTGTCCCACATACAGCAACTAGAAGGATGTGCAACTATGACATACAACTACCTACTGGGGCTTTGGGGGGAAAAAACAAAAAAAGGAGGAGGATTGGCAATAGATGTTAGCTCAGAGCCGGTCTTCCTCAGCAAAAAGAGGAGGATTAGCATGGATGTTAGCTCAGGGCTGATCTTCCTCACAAAAAAACAAAACAAAAAAACAAAAACAAACAAACAAAAAAATCTATCTGGAATTGATTACGTGGGTAGTATGAAGTAGGGGTCTCATTTAACTTTTTCTACATGGATATCCAACTGACCAAGCACCATTTATTGCAAAGCCCATCCTTCCCTCATGTTGGCTTTTAAGAGCTACCCTTCTTAAAATTCAAGTCTCCACCCATGTTTAGGCCTGTCTCTGGATTTTCTTCCATTGGTCTGCCTATTCCTGCACCAGCACCATGCAGTCTTGCTTTCTGTCACTTTCTTGACATCCAGTAGATGAAGTTGTCCTCATACTTTGGTTTTCTTTAAGACTGTCTTGGGTATTCCTGGCCCTCACACATTTTAGAATATAGTTTGTCAGTTTACCTACACATACACAATATCCACTGGAATTCTGATTGGAGTTGCATTGAATCCATATATCAATTTGGGAAGAATTGGCATCTTTACAATATTGAATCTTCCAATCTTTGAACAGTTTTTCATTCCATTTATGTCTTTATTTTTTTCAATAATATTTTATTGTGTGTGTGTGTGTGAAAAGTCGTTGTACATCTTTCATTAGATTTATTTCTGGCATTTGATGTTAGCTGATGCTATTGTAAATGGCATCATTTTTAAATTTTTTATTTTCTAGCTGTTGCTGATATATAGAAATTACAACTGATTTTTATATATTGACCTTGTGTCCAATGATTTGCTAAACTCACTCTAACAACTTATCTATAGATTATTTTGGATTTTTTACATCACCTTTTGTCTGTGAATGAATTTTATTTTTTCCTTTCCAATTCTCATACCTTTTTATTATTTTTCTTGCCATACTGCACTGGCTAGGCCCTCCAATATATTAGGATTGTGGTCATGAATGTAAAATGTTTTTCTCTAACAATGCTCTGCTGCTCCAGAAGCAGGGAATACACAAATAGTCTATTTTAAGTGAGGTTAGATTTTACCCCAGCCAGTTAGTCTAAGAAGAGCGGGTAGGAAAGTTGTAGCACCAAATCTATAGGACTCATAGTAAAGGTAAGGAACTGAGGAGGTGACAAATGATGGCTTGGAGATCTCAGTGAGATCAAAGAACTGTTGGATAATTGAGCTGGTTGGGTTGGCCAGTTCTTCTGGCCTGCTCCCCCAGCAAGGTACTCCTGACTGGGAAGAAGGAGGGGGCAAACACAGGATAGAGAGGAAAACGCAGGAAAAGAGAGGCTGAGATGTCTTAGAGGGCAGTTTCTGCCAAGATTTGGCCCTCTGGTCTCCTGGACTGCTCTCCATCTGCCCCACAGCAGCCTCAAATCCAGGTCTCTGGGCCCTGGGTGGACCCTCTAGCTTGGAGCTGATGAAGAGAGATGGAGGATGAATCATGTTGGGGTCTTGCTATGTTCCTAGGAGGTAGGGGCAAGGCTGGACTTGGAGGGAGGAATTATCACCAATACTTGGTTTTTGTCTTTACTAGGGGCATTAGAAACTGCCACTAGGGGTGAGGCATAGAGGTGAGTGCAGATGGGGAGGGGGCGGCCTCCATGGAACAGCTGCCTCAAAAGGAGGATAAAGCGGAGGCGGGAACAGCAGGGAGCAATACCGCGAGTCAGGGGTGTCAAGGAGAGGTACAGGATTTGCCGTCCACAAGGCGCATCGGCTGAGACCAGTGCTAGCCCTAGTATAGAGCGCAGAGCTTGATTTCCCTCGGCTACGGTGCTTTTATGCCTCTGCACATTTGCCCACACAGCCTCCAAGACCTAGGATGGCTCCTCCTTCTCTTGCAGCTGCCGACCTCCTCTTGGTTATTCAAGGCTCTGCTCAGGCATCTCTTCTGCCGGAAGCCTTCCCGGATCACTAAGTTGGCTCAGGCGCCTCCCCTGGGACCCAAGCATCCCTCCTCTAGCGCCCCCTCTGTCTCTCTCCTTCGTTGGTGTAAAATTTTGTGCCCTCCACTCGATAGACTGTGGACCCGGAGGGCGGGTATGCTGTCAGAACCACGTCCCCGGCCTTACGCCATCCTCTGCACTGCCTAGGCCCCCATCCAACGGAGTTCCGCCTTCAGCGCCTCTGCAGATGCTCCACCCTCATGCCCATAGGAACCCAGACCGTATACCGGGCGCTAAGCTCCGACCTTAGGGGGTCCACAGATTCAGAGATGCGGGAAGGCACCATCGGAGCCCACTGGCCGGCTCTCTGTAGCCACGTGGGGCGATCTGGAGGTGGCACCCGCGGGAACCCCGTCTCCCGCAAGCGAAGAAGGCAAGTGGGGCGGGGGGGAGAATGCACTGTCTGGTTGGTCGATGGTGATGTCATAGGTACCGTGTGGGGCGGGCCAAAGGGCTTAGCCGGGAGTTCTCCGCTGGTTCGAAGCAGGAGCCGCGCCCGTAAGAGCGTTCTGGACCCCGGCCCTGACTCCCTCTTCGGTCCTAGGACGCCCGCGCCCTTTGCAGGTGGTGCTGCAGGGTGTTGTTGCTGCTGCCTTTGCAGGCCGGTCCGTGGAGAACCTCCTGGGTTATCTCTCTGGCTATCCTGGAACCCGCGGAGTCCCCTCCCCCGCAGACAATGAGTCCGCCGTGGGGGGCGGGGCCTCCCATTGTGCCAATAGAAACGGTGACTTTTTGATTGGAACGCTATGCACTCCTCCCCCGCTCCTCTTCTGCGACGTCTATTCCGCCGCATGTGCCCATTGGCCAGCTGGCACCGACTTGTGCCAGGAGTTGCACAGAGCGGGGAGAACTGGGTTGAATTGCGAAAGGAGGATTGAGCTTCCGTTAGTCCCTTCAAGGGGTTAAAGGACGCGGTCGTGACGGACGAGGGGCGGGGATCCGAGAAGCCGGACCTGCAGTCGTGCGGCAACTCCGGGGTCTCCGTGGCATCCCAGAGCCCTCCAGACCAGCGGCCTGGAGATGGGGGTGTAGCCTCCAGTGGAGGAGACCTCAGCCTGGGAGACTTGCTGGGGGCCGGCAAGGCAGGGAAGATTTTGGCCTATGCTCCCGCCTCGGGCGGGTCACCTCCCGTCCCTGCTCTGTCAGAGCGCTCCAAACAAGCAGATGGTCGCGACATGTTTCATGAGTTAAAACTCACTGATGGAACAGTTAAAGCTACTGTTCGGGCTGCTGGCGCCCCAGGTCCCCGTCTAGCCATCGTCCTCTCTGCCCCCAGGATTCCACATGGAATCCTCGCCCAAGAGTCTTGAGAAGGCTCTTTCTGCACGTCATGGGCACCGAATTTTCAGACCAAAATCCCGGACAGGGTTCGAAACTAGTGCTCGGCAAGGGGGGACAAGAGACCAGCAAGCAGAAGAAAGACTAGGAGAGAGCTAGGATAGCGCCCTGGAAGTAGGACAGCGGATGAGGGAGGTGGCCGCAAGCGAGGAGGGTGGTTCCGGGGGTCGAACCTCCGCGCCCTCTTCAGCACCCGGGGCAGCATTTATGCTTTGCCCTCAATAAAGATGGCCGCAACAGCTTCGGTAGTCAGGGCTGCCATGCGCGAAGGGCTGTACCACCGGATTTGGGGTTTCGGGGCGGAGGTGGAACGAACCATCGCGGCGGCCGGGAGCCATGTTGGAGCGGCGGGAGGCGGCAGCAGCGTCGGGGATGCTGTGGTGGGGGCGGCAAAAGCTGGGGTCGCACGCCAAAGGGGCTCTGGCCGCGGAGTAGATGGTGCCCAGAGGGGGGCGGCGGCGCGGAGCGACAGGCCGAGAGGCGGGGGACCGGGGCGGCGGCAGGGGCACGGGAGGGGGCCCGAGCAGCGGGGCGGGCCCAAGGCCCGGACCGGGACGGGGGGCGGTGGAGGCCGTGTGGGGAGGCGGTGGGTGATGGCGAGGCAGCCACTGTGGTGGGGTCTCAGGGGGCCGACGACCCCGCTACTCCTGCTGCTTCTCCTCCTCTCTTTGTTCCCTCTCAGCCAGGAAGAGCTGGGGGACGGCGGGGGCCAAGGCTGGGACCCGGGGATAGCTGCCGCTACGGGGCGAGGGGCACGGATCGGCGGCGGAGCCTTAGCTCTTTGTCCCGAGACGTCCGAGATCCAGGAGGATGGAGAACCTGGCCTGGGAGTCAGGGAACCTGTCTTCGTGGGGCTCCGAGGGGGAAGGCAAATCGCCCAGAGTGGTCGAGGACCCCCTGAGCAGCCCGGCTTGGGACTGAGGGGGGAATATGGGGCCCAGGCATTAGGCAGCCGCGGGCAAGAGACAGGACAGGGACCAGGGTCTCCGTTATGCTGGCGCCCAGAGGTCTCCTCTTGCGGGAGGACAGGACCCTTGCGAAGAGATAGTCTGTCGCCAGAGGCTCTGTCCCCAGGGGTCCCGGGCCCCGAGAAGAGCTCGCCCTTCCCTTCGGACCTTCTGGTTCCGCCCCGTGGTTCCAAGTCGGTGTCCTCCCAGAGGAATGCTGGGAGAAGCGCTCCCCCAAAAGTGGGAACTATGCGCTGCTGTGGGGAATTGTGGGGATCAGGACGCAGGGGTCAGGGCGAGAGAACGACGACATCCCGAGAGGAGAGGATAGTCCCCCTGCCGGACTGTCCTCCCGGGGCTGCAGGATCTGGCCCCGAGCTGGTTTCAGCACCGCTCACGGCGAGGACAGTTCCCGAGTCTGGTTCAGCACCGCGCGAGTCCCGGACAGCTCCCGAGCCAACACCCGAGCGCATGCGCTCCCGCGGTCTCTTCCGCCACCGCTTCCTCCCACAGCGCCCGGCGCCGCGCCCCCCGGAGGTCCCGGCCCGGCCAGGAGCCTGGAAAACACTCCCAGCCAGCCGGGTGCGCCCCCGCCGCGCCGCGAACCGCCACCCGCAGTTTCCGCAGTACAACTACCAGGCGCTAGTGCCCGAGAACGAGGCGGCGGGCACCTCGGTGCTACGCGTAGTGGCGCAGGACCCGGACGCGGGCGAGGCTGGGCGCCTAGCCTACTCGTTGGCTGCTCTCATGAACAGCCGCTCGCTGGAGCTGTTCAGCATCGACCCGCAGAGCGGCCTCATCCGCACGGAGGCCGCTCTGGACCGCGAGAGCATGGAACGCCACTACCTGCGCGTGACGGCGCAGGACCACGGCTCGCCGCGCCTCTCGGCCACCACCATGGTGGCCGTTACAGTAGCCGACCGGAACGACCACGCGCCGGTGTTTGAGCAGGCGCAATACCGGGAGACACTTCGCGAGAACGTGGAAGAGGGCTATCCCATCCTGCAGTTGCGTGCCACAGACGGCGACGCGCCCCCCAACGCCAACCTGCGTTACCGCTTCGTGGGGCCTCCAGCTGCGCGCGCTGCAGCTGCCGCCGCATTCGAGATTGATCCGCGTTCGGGCCTCATCAGCACCAGCGGTCGCGTGGACCGCGAGCACATGGAAAGCTACGAGCTGGTGGTGGAGGCCAGCGATCAGGGCCAAGAGCCTGGGCCGCGCTCTGCCACCGTGCGTGTGCACATAACCGTGCTGGACGAAAATGACAACGCGCCCCAGTTCAGCGAGAAGCGCTATGTGGCGCAGGTGCGCGAGGATGTGCGCCCCCATACGGTGGTGCTACGAGTCAGAGCCACCGACCGGGACAAGGACGCCAATGGACTGGTGCACTACAATATCATCAGCGGCAACAGCCGTGGCCACTTCACCATCGACAGCCTCACAGGCGAGATCCAGGTGGTGGCACCTTTGGACTTTGAGGCAGAGCGAGAGTACGCCTTGCGTATCCGGGCGCAGGATGCAGGCCGGCCACCGCTGTCCAACAACACGGGTCTGGCTAGCATCCAGGTGGTGGACATCAATGACCATACTCCTATCTTTGTCAGCACACCCTTCCAGGTTTCTGTCCTGGAAAATGCGCCCCTGGGCCACTCGGTCATCCACATTCAGGCAGTGGATGCAGACCTTGGGGAGAATGCCAGATTGGAGTACTCCCTAACTGGTGTGGCACCTGATACACCCTTTGTGATAAACAGTGCCACTGGTTGGGTCTCTGTGAGTGGTCCCCTGGACCGTGAGTCTGTGGAGCATTACTTCTTTGGTGTGGAGGCCCGAGACCATGGCTCACCCCCACTCTCAGCCTCAGCCAGTGTCACAGTGACTGTGCTGGATGTTAATGACAATCGGCCTGAGTTTACGATGAAGGAGTACCATCTACGGCTGAATGAGGATGCAGCTGTGGGCACCAGTGTGGTCAGCGTGACTGCTGTAGACCGTGATGCCAACAGTGCCATCAGCTACCAGATCACAGGTGGCAACACTCGGAATCGCTTTGCCATAAGCACCCAGGGGGGTGTAGGTCTGGTGACACTGGCTCTGCCACTGGACTACAAGCAGGAACGCTACTTCAAGCTGGTGCTGACTGCATCTGACCGTGCCCTTCATGATCACTGCTATGTGCATATTAACATAACAGATGCCAACACTCACCGGCCTGTCTTTCAAAGTGCCCACTACTCAGTGAGTGTGAATGAGGATTGGCCAGTGGGTAGCACCGTGGTGGTCATCAGTGCCTCTGATGATGATGTGGGTGAGAATGCTCGTATCACCTATCTCCTGGAGGACAACCTGCCCCAGTTCCGCATTGATGCAGACTCAGGGGCCATTACACTACAGGCCCCACTGGACTATGAGGACCAGGTGACCTACACACTGGCTATTACAGCTCGGGACAATGGCATCCCACAGAAGGCAGACACCACTTATGTGGAAGTGATGGTCAATGATGTGAATGATAATGCTCCGCAGTTTGTGGCCTCCCACTACACGGGGTTGGTCTCTGAGGATGCCCCACCTTTCACCAGTGTCCTGCAGATCTCAGCCACTGACCGGGATGCTCATGCCAATGGCCGGGTCCAGTACACTTTCCAGAATGGGGAAGATGGGGATGGAGACTTTACCATTGAGCCCACCTCTGGCATTGTCCGCACGGTGAGGCGGCTGGATCGGGAGGCAGTGCCAGTGTATGAACTGACTGCCTATGCAGTGGACCGAGGTGTGCCCCCGTTGCGGACTCCAGTCAGCATCCAGGTGACGGTGCAGGATGTGAATGACAATGCACCTGTCTTCCCTGCTGAGGAGTTTGAAGTGCGAGTGAAGGAGAACAGCATTGTGGGCTCGGTGGTGGCCCAGATCACTGCGGTGGACCCCGACGAAGGCCCCAATGCCCATATAATGTACCAGATCGTGGAGGGGAACATCCCTGAGCTGTTCCAAATGGACATCTTCTCTGGAGAGTTGACGGCACTCATTGACCTGGACTACGAGGCTCACCAGGAATATGTGATTGTGGTGCAGGCCACATCTGCCCCTCTGGTCAGTCGGGCCACTGTGCACGTCTGCCTAGTTGACCAGAATGACAACAGCCCTGTGCTCAACAACTTCCAGATCCTCTTCAACAACTATGTATCCAACCGCTCAGACACCTTCCCTTCAGGCATCATTGGACGCATCCCAGCTTATGACCCAGATGTCTCTGACCATCTCTTCTACTCCTTTGAGCGGGGCAATGAGCTACAGCTGCTGGTGGTCAATCAGACCAGTGGGGAGCTTCGACTCAGCCGCAAGCTAGACAACAACCGCCCACTGGTGGCCTCCATGTTGGTGACTGTCACAGGTGAGGGGTGGGGGACAGGCAAGTGACCCAGTGATCTCAACCTGTCAGGGCCTCAGGAGCTCCACAGGGCACCTCAGACCAAAGAGGGATTTCCAAGCCTTCCAAGAATCCCTTACATGCTAGGTTCTTTCACCCCACAGGATCTGCCATAGACCTCACAGATTAGGTTTACATAGTCTTTACTTAGGTTCTTGGGCAGTCTCCACAGAACTCCAAAGATTTTAGGGCATCTAGCAGCCTCCATAAAGACCTTTGAACTGTCTGCTACTCTAGGGATAGCTCCCCTCCCTCTGAAAGCCTGGAGGTCCTGAGTTAATGCTCTGGAGGTCACAGGAAAAGCTAGCATAGGCCAGTCAGCCCACACCACATCCCTGTTCAGATGAAGGGTTACTTTGGGTCCAGTGTGACCCTCACCCCATCTATGCAGGAGAGGGAGGCCAATAGTTTAGTCGTCAGGAAGAGCAGCTTACTACTCTGCCAGAGTACTTACTACTTCAGGTAGAGTGGGCCCCCACTGGCCTGGCTGCTATTCAAGGAGTTGACCAAGGCCCTGCCCTTTGAGAAAATGTCCAGAGGTCAACCTGCCTCTTTCCTGCCTCTATAGCCCTAGGCTTTTAGTGGGGTGCAGGCTGGAGAGGCCCTTGTAGTCCTGCCTGCTGGAGGCTGCAGAAGTTGTCAGACAGGCTTTACTGGTGCTCATTCCCAAATTCTGGAGCATGGACTCCTGGCACTTCCAGAGAAGGCATAGTCTTCATTTATCACTCAATTCTCTCAACAACTAACCCTTATTGACCACTCAATGTGTGCTAGCGTCTGGGGACAAGGCATATAAACACCTCATCTTCATTTCTGGGGGTGGCCACTGCAATCACAGCACCCAGGTCTGGGCTGATGGGCAGCTTGCTGACCCAAGAATGCTGAGGGGGAGGGGTCCCAGACCCTCCTGAAGAGAGGGAATTTGCTGACCCAGGGTTCCAGGGGATGGCGTTGTGTGGTCACAGGGCCAGGGCCCCTTCTGGTGCCATGGGAAAGCAGTTTGCTGACCAGAGATAGGGGATGGGTGATCCTTGACCTAGAATCCTCTTTGTTTCTTGGAGGGAATGTTTGCTGGTTCTGCAATGCTGGAGAGTTGGGGGGAGGGGGATGGGTGGTCAGTGGCCCTGGCTCCCTTTGTGTCCTGAGTTGGGGTGGCCTGTTGACCATGATAACTTGGGGAAGGGTGAGTTACTGACCAGTTAGGGACCTTCTTGTTCGCTGTTGGAGGAAGGACTTACTGACCCATTGGCTCTATGGGGGGTTGGTTGATACCTGGCTCAGGCCCCTCCTTGTGTCGGAGGGAGGGGAAAGGAAGCAGCAACTAGTTGACACCTTGATGCTGGGGGAGCTGGTGGTCACAAGCCCTGGACCCCCTTGTGTCCTGGCAGGGTCAGCCTACTGACTCGGAGATGCTGGGGGCCTGGGCAGTCACTGGCCCCAGCCCTCTTGTGTCCCAGGGAGGGGCAGCCGCTGACCCCAGACTGACCACTGGCCCTACCCCCACCCGCAGATGGGCTGCACAGCGTCACTGCTCAGTGTGTGCTGCGCGTGGTCATCATCACCGAGGAGTTGCTGGCCAACAGCCTGACCGTGCGTCTCGAGAACATGTGGCAGGAACGCTTCCTGTCGCCGCTTTTGGGCCACTTCCTGGAAGGCGTGGCCGCAGTACTTGCCACACCTGCCGAGGACGTCTTCATCTTCAACATCCAGAACGACACGGACGTGGGGGGCACCGTGCTCAATGTGAGCTTCTCGGCTCTGGCGCCGCGCGGGGCAGGGACTGGCGCTGCGGGTCCCTGGTTCAGCTCCGAGGAGCTGCAGGAGCAGCTGTACGTGCGCCGCGCAGCGCTTGCTGCCCGCTCACTTTTGGATGTGCTGCCCTTCGACGACAACGTGTGCCTGCGCGAACCCTGCGAAAACTACATGAAGTGCGTGTCGGTGCTGCGCTTTGACTCGTCTGCGCCCTTCCTGGCCTCGGCCTCCACGCTCTTCAGACCCATTCAGCCCATTGCAGGCCTGCGCTGCCGCTGCCCGCCCGGCTTCACGGGAGACTTCTGCGAGACCGAGCTCGACCTCTGCTACTCCAACCCTTGCCGCAATGGCGGCGCCTGCGCGCGGCGCGAGGGTGGCTACACCTGCGTCTGCCGCCCGCGCTTCACCGGTGAGCAGGGCACGGGGCTGGGGGCCCGGCCAGAGCTGGGTAAACCTGAGGCAGGGCGTGGGGGCGGAACTACAATGCACGTGAGGACCTGGCATCACTCTTGAGCCAACCAGGGTCGCGGTTAGACCAGGAGCCTAGAGCTTGGCCCAGAGAGAGCCTAGGGCCATGAGGGAGTAGAGGCCTTAGGCGGGACTGAGGTTGTGAAGGAGGCGTGGCCGTGGGCGGGGGCGGGGCTATGAGGGTCCGCGGTTGTGGACCCGGCAGGACCCTGGGAGGGGCGTGGCCGGAGCCGCGCAGGCAGGGTGAGGCGGGGCCAGACCGAATCGGGGCGTGCCCACAGGGAGCTCGACCTCTTAGAGGTCTTGGAACCTGCTTGGAGCACGCGTCCTTCGTAGGGGCGGGGCCCGCTGGGGCAGCGGCCGCTACGGTCGTGACCGCCTCTGCCCGCGGCTTGACCCCTAGGAGAAGACTGTGAGCTGGACACCGAGGCCGGACACTGCGTGCCCGGCGTCTGCCGCAACGGGGGCATCTGTGCGGATGGGCCCGACGGCGGCTTCCGCTGCCAGTGCCCAACGGGCGGCGCCTTCGAGGGCCCGCTCTGCGAGGTGGCGGCGCGCTCCTTCCCGCCCAGGTCGTTCGTCATGTTCCGAGGCCTGCGGCAGCGCTTCCACCTCACGCTGTCCATCTCGTAGGTGCCCGCCCCGTATCTCTGCGAGCCTCCGTCTTGTCCCTACCTACATGACCCTGACTCAGATTCCTTACTGCCACATCCTGACCCCACGGGACACCGCCCTCTTCCCTGACGCCTGGCCTGGGTGTCTCAGAGCATCACTGCTCCTGACCTCAGTGCACTGGTCTCACCCACCCGTCCCACCCTCTCTCGTCGCTTCCTCTTTTACCCCAGCCTGGGCTGGTGCCCCGTGAACCCTCTTGTCACAGGGATGGTGGGTTTGAGGAGGTGTCCTGCTTGTGATGTGCCCTGCCCATCCCACCCAGGTTCGCAACGGTGCAGCCAAGTGGGCTACTTTTCTACAATGGGCGCCTGAACGAGAAGCATGACTTCTTGGCCCTGGAGCTCGTGGCGGGGCAAGTGCGGCTCACATATTCCACAGGTGGGTGCCTCCAACCGGATGTGTGTGTGGGCGAGTGGGTGCATGTGTGGGTGAGATGGCTGAGCCCCAAGTCCCTTCGGGTTTGCCTCACTGCACACCTGAACACACACCTCCATGTCAAACAGATGTCAGTGAAGACCTGACCTCCATGGCCATTCCCTGTCCATTTCTCCAAGTGTGTGTGCTTCTTCCATCTGTCAAAGGCACTCTGGTCTAGCCAGCATGGTCACCAGTCGGGGGAGTGATCTGACACATGCAGGGTCACCCTGGGAGTAACTGCCTACATGACTTGTGGGAGGCACTTAGCTCTGGACAACCTTCCACACGCATTCCCCCCAATAGGTGAATCCAACACCGTGGTCAGCCCCACAGTTCCAGGGGGCCTGAGTGATGGGCAGTGGCACACTGTGCATCTGAGATACTACAACAAGGTGGGTACCACCTTTGGCATGGGAGTATAGGGGGACCTGGGATGTCAAGTCCTGCCCCTCAGGGGTCACCCTGGAGGTCCTGTTAAGTGGTATACCTGTGTCTCTAGCCCCGGACAGATGCCCTGGGGGGTGCTCAGGGCCCCTCCAAGGACAAGGTGGCTGTGCTGAGCGTGGATGACTGCAACGTGGCCGTGGCTCTTCAGTTTGGTGCTGAGATTGGCAACTACTCGTGTGCGGCTGCTGGCATGCAAACAAGCTCCAAGAAGTGAGGCCCCCAGCCCCAGATCCCCATGCCCTCTGCCTCCCAAAGCCCACCCCAACCCTTCACATACCCCTCTCCTCACTCCAGCTTGCCAAACTCCCCGTCCTTTCCGAAACCACCAGATTTCCCTCTCCCTACTAGGACGCTGAAACCTCACCTCACCCTAGCCCCATCCCTGTATTCTACCTCAGACTCCTTGTTCCCACACAGTCCCCAAGCTCCCAGTCCCCCAAAATCTCTACTCCTCCCAGTCTCTCTAATGCCCCACATCCCCACCATGCCTCACTCTTTTCTCCTAGCCCTCAACCCCAGCTCTTCTACCTTTCCCCAGTCCATCTGCCCATCATGAGCTCTCCTTTGCACCCCCACAACTGAAGTAAGGCCCCAGATCCTTCCCTAGCCTTGCCTTACCCTCCTCCCTCAATCATTTTACCCTCTGAGTCCTACCCCCTCCAGTTCCTATGGCCCCCCGGGAGCAACCCTCCCTTGGTCCCAGTCCCACCAATGACCAGGACACCTGACCCCCAGGTCCCTGGACCTGACAGGCCCTCTGCTCCTGGGGGGTGTCCCCAACCTCCCCGAGAACTTCCCCGTGTCCCACAAGGACTTCGTTGGCTGCATGCGGGACCTGCACATTGATGGCCGCCGAGTGGACATGGCGGCTTTCGTCGCCAACAATGGCACCACGGCAGGTAAGCCGTGTCCCCATCGTAGGGAGAGGGTGGAGGGCTACACGGAGTGACTCGAATCTTACCTCACCCCTCTCTCCTTTGATGGTAAGCACCATGTCACAGCCTAGCCTTTAGGTCCTGCCTTCTACCAACTCTACCCCGAAGAGAACATGGGGCTGAGATCATGGCCACTTTGGCCCCCGACCCTTATGTCCTGTCTAGCACTTGTGTGCCCCCTCATGTTCTCACACCCTCCATGTGCCTTCCTCTCCCAGGCTGCCAGGCCAAGCTGCACTTTTGCGACTCAGGCCCCTGTAAGAACAGTGGCTTCTGCTCAGAGCGCTGGGGTGGCTTCAGCTGTGACTGCCCCGTGGGCTTCGGTGGCAAAGACTGTCGGCTCAGTGAGTGGGCAGCATGGGGCAGGAGGGGTCTGCAGGGTAAGTTCTGTTCCTGAGGTGGGGCCTGTGACCCTGCTCCTTTTATCCCCTCAGCCATGGCCCATCCCCACCATTTCCATGGCAACGGCACACTGAGCTGGGACTTTGGAAATGACATGGCTGTGTCTGTGCCGTGGTACCTCGGGCTGGCATTTCGGACACAGGCGACACGGGGCATCCTGATGCAAGTGCAGGCTGGGCCACACAGCACGCTCCTCTGTCAGGTGTGTCTGTCCTTCTGATCCCTCCCTAGACCCTCCCTACCTCTCAATCTCTAATGCCACCAGCAACATTCCTGTGGGTTCGGGCCTGGTCAAACAGCATACTCTGCTAGGTGTACTGACCATTCTTGACCCTACTCTGGCCCAATCCATGACCCCTGGTCCTGGCCTCTGCCCCCTAACCTCACTCTCAGCAACATAGCGTCCCTGGGCACGGTGCCCTATGTGCCAGACATAGCCTTGCTCCTGCTGCTCTGACCTCTGGGCCCCCTGATCTCACCTTCTGACACTCCCAGCCCTAGCCCAACTTGGGACTCTGACCCCAGGGCTTTGTCTCTCTACCCACAGCTGGAGCAGGGGTTGCTATCTGTGATGGTGACCAGGGGCTCGGGCCATGCTGCCCACCTACTCCTGGACCAGGTGACTGTCAGTGACGGCCGGTGGCACGATCTGCGGCTGGAGTTGCAAGAGGAGCCAGGTGGCCGGCGGGGCCACCATGTCCTCATGGTCTCACTGGACTTTAATCTCTTCCAGGTCTGACCTCTGACCCTGGGGTAGTCCATTCTCAGTCTTCCAACCAGACTCACCTCATTTGACCCCACCTCTAGTACAGCTCCTCTCAACTCCCTCCACTGCACATAGTCTGATCTTCTGCCCCCAGGCCCCTCCTCATATCCCTGCTCTGAGCCTACCCTGCCAGCCAGGCTGGTCCACTTCTAGGCTCTTGTGTCAGGGAGGCTACCCAGATTTCTAGCCTGGTCTTGGGGTACCTCTGCAGCCAGCACTTTGCCTAACTCCTGGAAACCCCTTCTGGTCTCTGCCCTAATCTCTCCAGCTCAAAATCATGGAATTTCAGGGTCTGTTCTGGGTCCAGGAGAGAGGGGCCTGTCTGAGCCCTGCTCTACACTGAAACCATCCTATCATCCATCTCCTGTGCTCCAGCAGGTGTTCCATACTTGGGAGCAGCTCTTTCCCAGACCATTCGCCTGGTACAGAGGGACAAAGCATAGTCATACAGGGCTAGGACAAGGCCAAGACTGACTCTGGGACAGGGCAGGGGTCCATCAGGCCCCTCCCGCACCCCTAGTGCTGACTGTCCCCCTCCCCCAGGACACCATGGCGGTGGGGAGTGAGCTGCAAGGCCTGAAGGTAAAGCGACTCCATGTGGGAGGCCTGCCCCTCAGCAGTGAAGAGGAGAGTCCTCAGGGTCTGGTTGGCTGTATCCAGGTGGGGGTCAGCATGGGAACATGATATGGGGCATCAGGGTGAGTGGTCAGAGACCAGGGGCACCTTGGGACCTGTAAAGCTGCATTCATATGGGGGTTGGCATGGGGGGCGGGTGATCCAGAGCCATCAGAGACAGGTCAAGCCTTTCTGTGCCTGTTAGAGGTGAGAGTCTAGCTTAGATTATCGAGAGTCATTAGAGGTTTGTGTCAGGGACAGAACAATTAGGGGTCCCATGGGGGGACTGAATTGGGGATATTAGGGTTAGGGGCTGGGTTTTTTGGGGGGTCTAAGGGAGACTGAATGTCAGAGGTCATCAGACAGGTGGCTGGCTCTGCAGGACTTGGGGCTGAGGTGCTTTGACATGGGTCTCACCCCTTGTTGGCTGTGTCCACAGGGGGTATGGCTCGGCTCCACGCCTTTGGGGTCCCCGGCCCTGCTTCCCCCCAGCCACCGAGTGAATGTGGAACCTGGCTGTGTCGTGACCAATGCCTGTGCATCTGGGCCCTGCCCACCCCATGCTGACTGCCAAGATCTCTGGCAGACCTTCTCCTGCACCTGCTGGCCAGGTGGGGTCTGGGGGGGGGACAAGATGATATGGGCAGGAACTAGGGGCTCATGGTGAAGACTGGGGGACCTGAAGAGCCTAGAGGAGGCGAGGACTGAAAAGGACAGGTGCCTTTTTCCTCCCATGCTCTGTGGTCAGTATCCTGAGCTCCTTGTCCCAACCTGCAGGTTACTATGGCCCAGGCTGTGTGGACGCCTGCCTCTTGAACCCCTGTCAGAACCAGGGGTCATGCCGGCACCTCCTAGAAGCCCCCCATGGCTATACCTGTGACTGTGCAGTTGGCTATTTCGGGCACCACTGTGAGCATAGGTAAGGGGCTGGGGGCTGAGAGGATGGAAAGACCTGGTTGTGGGGAGGGAGGCTCACTGAGATATCATGGAAGCATCTCACCTGGCTGTCCACCTCCAGGATGGACCAGCAGTGCCCGCGGGGCTGGTGGGGGAGCCCAACCTGTGGCCCCTGTAACTGCGACGTTCACAAGGGCTTTGACCCCAACTGCAACAAGACAAATGGGCAGTGTCACTGCAAGGTGTGCCTAGCCCCCGACCCCTGACCTTTTAACTCTTCTCTAGACATAATTTGTCATACTTGTTCAGCTTGCTCACCTCTGCCACCTGACTCAGGCTTTGACCTCTTACCCCTGTCCTGTGACCTAACTACCATCTCTTATCCTTGACATCTAACCCCTCCCTTATGTTTCATTTGAGGCCCAATCTTCCTTCTGGCCTGTGAGCACTATTCTCCTGACCCTTTGCTCTTGATTCCTTTCATTCCCCAAGCCCTGACCTGAGACCCCTACCTTAAGCCCTGACCTCTGACCTTAGGCCCCTGACCCATTCTCAAACAGGAGTTCCACTACCGACCTCGGGGCAGCGACTCATGCCTCCCATGTGACTGCTACCCTGTGGGCTCCACCTCACGTTCCTGTGCACCCCACAGCGGGCAGTGCCCCTGTCGCCCAGGAGCCCTTGGCCGCCAGTGCAACAGCTGTGATAGTCCTTTTGCAGAGGTGACAGCCAGCGGCTGCCGGGGTGAGCAGGCTCCACCCAGCTCCACATATAGAGGGCTGGCTCTGGCACGCTGCCACCAAGTATCATGGCATGCTTGGCTCCTTGGGTGGGGACTCTGGGAGGCTTCTCTGAGGGAGACCGCTTACACTCAGGGACCTCCATATTTGCCCCAAGTATTTTGATGACTTATCACAATCTGACAGGCCAGCTCCTGTGAGGCTAGCAGGGGAGTGGTGAGTGGTGGGCCTGGGGTGAGTGGTGGAGGGGCAGTGGGTGTGGCTGTCACTTGCCCCAGCCCCTTGTTCCCTGGCTCAGCGCCTCTTCTCTCCCTAGTGCTCTATGATGCCTGCCCCAAGTCCCTAAGATCTGGTGTGTGGTGGCCCCAGACCAAGTTTGGTGTCTTGGCCTCAGTGCCCTGTCCTCGGGGGGCCCTGGGTGAGTACCTGGGGGGCAAGTGCATCACTTAGGTGGGGGTGGGCCTGTCCTCTGACTGTTGGAGCCACCTGTTTTCCTGAATTGGGTGGCCTTGTTCCTGCAAAGAGGTGGGAGTAGGGTAGGTGTCCATGTGGGCCCCTCACTACCTCCTAGGGATTCTGGGTCCCTCCCCACACCTTCATTGAGCCTCCGTCTGTTTCTCTTGGCTTCTGGGCAGGATTGCGGGGTGCAGGTAAGGGGTACGTGTTTGCTGAGGTGCGCTGCCCCCTCCCGCTGCCAGGGCTTTTGCAGATCCCTCCCGCTGCCTGAAGTCCCTGCAGACCCCTCCCTGCTGCCTGAGGTCTCTAAAAGCTACTCCTAACTGCTTGAAGTCCCTGGAGGCCCCTCCTGGCTTTCTGAGGACCCCAGGGGCTCTTCTCTGATGCCTAAGGTCCTCAGAGACCCCTCCCTACTGCCTGGGGACCCTGAAGATCCCTCCCCACTTCCTAAAGTCCTTGTAGACCCTTCCTCAGTTCCTGAGATCCCTGCAGGCCTTTCGCTACTGCCTGAGGTCACGAAAGACCCCTCCCTTCTGTTTGAGAACCCCAAAGACTCCTCCCTGCTGCCTGAGGGCCCCTCCCCACTGCCACTGCCTGAGGTCCCCACAGAACCCTCCTTGCTGCTTGAGATCTCTGCAGTGGCTGGACAGAGACTGTCTATGTATGCATGCTCATGTGTGTGTCTTTCTGTGTCTGTGCACGCATCTAGGAGTCTGTCTTGGGGAGAGTGGGTTCTGTGTTTAAGTTAGGGTCCCTCTTGCTGGTGGCTACAAACTCCCTTAAGGCCCAGGTCAATTCTCATTCAACCCCCACCCCAACCCCACAGACAAAGGAGAGATGGCAGCAAAGTCACCACTGGGGCAGCTAAAACTTGTGTGAGAACTTCCACCCCCACCTCCTTTGGCCACAAAATACTGCTGGAAAACCTGGTCTGTGTTCGCTTGTCTGTGTGTATGTATAAGAGAGCATTGTGTATCTGTGTTTGTCCTGGTCCACACATTTATGTGTGTACAGATGTGAGCATTGGGGAGTGTGTGTGTCTGTGTGCGTATGTGTGTGTATATGTGTAGCCCTACACTTGTGCTTGTAGTTGGTGGTTCAGAATGGTCCACAGACCCCTCAGCAATTGACAAGCAGCTGGGGCCTGCCTGGCCTGGGGGCTGGGGCTGCACTATCCACAGGTCCAGCTGCAGATGCCTATTACTCTGATTTCTACCTCAGAGCTCCCACTGGGATAGGGGAGGGTGCTGTGGTCACCTCTTCAGTGAAGGTGTCCAGGTCCCAGGCCTGACCAGGGATCGCCTGTCCCCAGGTGCTGCTGTGCGGCTATGTGACGAGGACCAGGGTTGGCTGGAGCCTGACCTTTTCAACTGTACCTCCCCTGCCTTTCGAGACCTCAGTCTGCTGGTGAGACTGCCCAGACCTTGCCCTGCACTCAAGACCTGCCCTGGCCCTGGCCCTGGCCTCAGCTTCCCCAGGCCTGTGGTGGGCTCCAGACATCATGCCCCAGCCCTCGACCTCCTGGGCTTTTCCTGGTTGCTCTTTAATCTGGCCAAATCCTTCTTCCTGTGAGGCTTTTGAGAAAGGCCTAAGGGACCACAGAGCAACCGCCTCATCTTTGTCCTGGCAGCTGGATGGCCTAGAGCTGAACAAGACAGCACTAGATACAGTGGAGGCCAAGAAGCTGGCTCAGAGGCTGCGGGAGGTGACCGTCCACACTGACCACTACTTTAGCCAAGATATCCGAGTCACTGCCCGCTTGCTGGCCCATCTGTTGGCCTTTGAGAGCCACCAGCAGGGCTTTGGGCTGACAGCCACACAGGACGCCCACTTCAATGAGGTGGGGCTATGCCCTGTGCTCCCTATCCCCTGGCCCTATACCCCCAGCCCTGAATCCCCCACTCATGCCCCTCCTGACCCCAGGGAAGTGAAGGCCCTGGGCTCTCCCTATTCCCTTGTCCTCTTCAGACCCAGCCCCTTGCCTGCTGGGGCCCCTCTGAGCACCTGACCGGACCCCTTAGGCTTGCCTTGTCCCTTCACACATCCTCACCTGGCTGAGTCTACTTTCATCTCCCTCCTCTCAGAATCTGCTGTGGGCCGGCTCTGCACTGCTTGCTCCAGAGACTGGGGACTTGTGGGCATCACTGGGGCAGCGGGCCCCCGGGGGATCCCCAGGCAGTGCAGGGCTGGTGCAGCATCTGGAGGAATATGTGGCCACGCTCGCAAGGAATATGGAACTCACATACCTGAATCCCGTGGGGCTAGTGACACCCAACATCAGTATGTGGCGGGTGGGGTGGGGCGGGGTGGGAAGGGGGCTGTGAAAGGGCAGGGACCTGGAGGTCCGAGGGGCTAGGGGCTATTGATGTCACTATTAGTGGCAAGAGGCTGTGCCACCACCCTCAGCGCTTTGTAGGGACAGGCTCTGTGCTGGTAGCAAGGAAGCTATGGGTTGTGGGACTTGGGTAAAGGATAGGAGTAGGAGGGAGTGGGACCTGCAGCATTGAGGAGGAGATCTTTGATGAGTCTCATCCCTCTTCTCCCGGGCAGTGCTCAGCATCGACCGTATGGAGCACCCCAGCCCGACCCGGGGAACCCGTCGCTACCCTCGTTACCACAGCAACCTTTTCCGGGGCCAGGATGCCTGGGATCCTCAAACCCACGTGCTGCTGCCTTCCCAGGCCCCACGGCTGTCCCCACCTGAAGGTGAGAGCCCTTGGGTGACCCCTGGGCCAGGTTCTGTTTCCTTGCCCCCACCGAAGCCATATACCATGTCACCCTCCTGCCAGTTGTCCCCTTCACAGACCTCCCCTATGTCAGACCCCCTGTGTGAGACCCTCTTGTGTCAACCCACTACCCCACACCTTGCCCCACCACTCTCTTACCTCACCAGAGCCTCTCCCTCCCACGGATAACCTCTCCCAGGCCTTGATATTCAGGATCCAGCCCTGGGGAGCCCATGTCCCCTTCATGGGCTCCTGCTCACCCCCAGTTCTGGACCTGCAGGGAAGAAAGTCCCATGCTTGAAGCTGGGTTGGGTTCAGAGCTGGGTTTTTGGGTGCTCAGGGTCAGAGGTTACTGACAGTGGCTCCTCCTCCTCCCCTGGCAGTTCTGTCCACAAGCAGCAGCAGCATGGAAAACTCCACCACCTCAAGTGTGGCTCCCCCACTGGCGCCCCCAGAGACTGAGCCTGAGCCTGGGATCTCCATTGTCATCCTCCTTGTTTACCGCACCTTGGGGGAGCTGCTCCCTGCCCAGTTCCAGGCCGAGCGCCGTGGCGCCAGGTACCACGGGTGGAGTTACTACCAGTCCCCTCACCCCTGAACTTCCTGCAAGGGTCTACCTAGCCTAGCACCCCCTTTTTTGGTGGGCAAATGAGCAGGTTCACAGTCATACAGAAACGCTCCTGTGACCAGCTCCAGGGAGCCTTGTCCAGGCTAGGTTCCATGTGAAATGTGTTCTGTGGAGTTGTGCAGAGTAGCAGACAGACATGGAACCACAGATGGGGGCAGTTATACAAAGGAGAGGTGCAGGAGCCAGGTATAGACAGGCAAACTGGCTGATAGAGACAGGCAAGATGGGCTGACTGATGCAGGTCAGATGTGGGTAGCAGGGAGAGCAGTTTGAGGCAAACAGTCTGGAGCTGCTTGGGCCTCAGACCTGAGTGTGGCCAGTGGGTTGGAAGCCCTGTGGCTGCAGAGAACCTGCCATTTATGCAGAACCATGACACCCCAGGTAGTCCATGGACCTGTGGTCTTGAAGCAGCCTAGCAGAGGTTGAAGGGATTCTCAAAAACAGCATCCACTCTAGGGCATCCCAGGCCCTGGGTCGGCCATAGCAAGTGGCATGAAGCCAGTGAGGTAGGCAGTCAGAGCTCGGGTAGGTCAGCAGTGTCCAAGCCCAGGTGGGGTGTCTCCTCAGGCTTCCCCAGAACCCAGTTATGAACTCTCCGGTGGTCAGCGTGGCTGTGTTCCATGGACGCAGCTTCCTAAGGGGCATCCTGGAATCCCCGATCAGCCTTGAGTTCCGCCTGCTACAGACGGCAAATCGGAGCAAGGCGATCTGCATGCAGTGGGACCCGCCTGGCCCGTGAGGACCTCCACTCTGGAAACCCTTGGTCCCCCTGTTAGCCCCTGGGAGGCCCAGCCTGCCCCTGGGACCCCCACTAATGCCCCTCACACCTGGGCCCATGAGGAATGCTGCTCCCCAAGTCCAGGCACCCTCGGCCCCTCCCTCCATGTCTCACAAACCCCTGCCTGGCAATGGGGCACTCCCCAGAGCAGATGGAAGGTCTAACTGCCCTGTGGCCATAGGGTTGACCAGCACGGCATGTGGATAGCACGGGACTGCGAGCTGGTGCACAGGAATGGCTCCCACGCACGGTGTCGCTGCAGCCGGACAGGCACCTTTGGGGTCCTCATGGATGCCTCCCCCCGTGAGGTGGGGCTGTGTTTAGAGTCCTAAGGAAGTGGGAGGGTCAAAGGGCAGGGATGCCCAACACCCCAGCAACCATCCCTGTCCCCACAGCGGCTAGAGGGCGACCTGGAGCTGCTGGCTGTGTTCACCCACGTGGTCGTGGCAGTGTCTGTGGCCGCGCTGCTGCTGACTGCGGCTGTCCTGCTGAGCCTCCGCAGCCTCAAGTCCAACATGCGTGGGATCCATGCCAATGTGGCGGCCGCCCTGGGGGTGGCAGAACTCCTCTTCCTGCTGGGGATCCATAGGACCCAAAACCAGGTGCAGGGTCAGGGCCAGGGGACTTGTGTCCTGATGACCTTACCTGGCCCAGGAAGGCCTGGGGCCAAAGTTCAGGGATGCTCAGGTTGGGGCCAGGGTTTGGGGCAGGATACTGGGTTAACGTGCTGTGGTTTAGGGGTCATAGGTGGGAAACAGATGCCTGGGGTGGGGGTCAGAGGTAGGGGGAGGCAGGAGAGGTCCTGACGCCCCCCTACCCTGCCTTCAGCTGATGTGCACTGCAGTCGCCATCCTCCTGCACTACTTCTTCCTCAGCACCTTCACGTGGCTCCTTGTGCAGGGGCTGCACCTCTACCGCATGCAGGTTGAGCCCCGCAATGTGGACCGTGGCGCCATGCGCTTCTACCATGCCCTGGGCTGGGGCGTCCCTGCTGTGCTGCTGGGTGAGGGCCCTGCCCACTGGCCCCTCCAGGCCTGTGACCCTGACCTCTGTCCATCCCATAGCCTGACGCCTGACCCTGCCCCCAATCCTAATCCCAACGTCAACCCCCCATGCCATCTGCTGAGGGAGGAACCCGCTCTGCCCTCACCCCTGGCTCCTACCCATACATGAGAGGATCGGCAGCTCTAGAACACGCCCATCCATCCTCTCCTTTCTCCCCAACAGGGCTTGCTGTAGGCCTGGATCCCGATGGCTATGGGAACCCTGACTTCTGCTGGATCTCGGTCCATGAACCTCTCATCTGGAGCTTCGCAGGCCCTGTCGTCCTTGTCATTGTGGTAGGTGCCTGCACTCAGTGCCACCTGTGTGTTCCCCTTTGTGGGGGAAAAGGGCCCTGCAGCAGGTGTGGGGGTGTCAGCTGAGGGGTGCCAGGTGGCAGTCCACAGGCTTCCTGGGCTCAGCCTCCATTTCTGTTCCCCACTCCACTGGCATGGAGATGAGGTGCGTGGGGTCAGAGACTTGGCTGCCTCTCCCTGCCTCTGTCTCTCTCTCCATCTCAATCTCTCAGTCCCTCTCTGGTTCCCTATCTCTGACTTTTTCTATGATTCTAAGCCCCCCTGTCTCTCTTTATTTCTGATCTCTGTATTGTGTGTGTGTGTGTGTGTGTGTGTGTGTGTGCGCGTGTTTCTCACTGGTTCTGCCTCTCTCTGTGAGTCTTGGTCTCTCTCTGTCCCTGTCTCTCTCTGTCTGGCTCTCACTGTCTCTGTCTCTCTCTCCCCTGTCCCTGCTCCACATGTCTGGCTGTGGGTTCAGATGAACGGGACCATGTGTCTCCTCGCTGCCCGCACATCCTGCTCCACCGGGCAGAGGGAGGCCAAGAAGACGTCTGTGCTGTGAGTTGGCTGGCTGATGGAATTGGGGGATTCTCAGCATGGCAGCCCCTTCCTGGGGGTGGGTCTGGGGGCCCAGAGCATCCCTGGTGCCGGCTGGGCTCCAGTCCCTGTGGTTCTTCTCTGGTGCCCTTGCCATACTCTGACCCCAAACATGCTTCTGCCCTGCTGTCTCCCAAGTCTCCCATGGCCTGGCTCACTTTTCCCCCTGCTCCGTGTGTCCCCACCTGTCTTCCATGTTTTGTCTCACTGCCCACTTCCTGTGTGTTTTCCACATGCCCCCTCATGGCTCCCTGAATATTCTCTTGGTTCTTTCTGTGACCTCCCATCTCCCCTAGTGTCCCCTGAGACCTTCGTGTTCCTATGTGAGTTCCTTTCCTTCTATCCCCTGTGTGACCCCTGTGCGTCCTCCTGTGTCCCCTATGTGAGCCCTGCATGACCCTTGTGTGTCCTCTCCTGTGTCCTTTCATGTTCCTGTGGCAGGACCCTTCGCAGCTCCTTTCTGCTCCTTCTACTGATCAGTGCCTCCTGGCTCTTTGGCCTTCTGGCAATCAACCACAGCATCCTGGCCTTCCACTACCTCCATGCCGGCCTGTGTGGGCTCCAGGTAACTCTGACACCCCTCTCTCACCCTGGACCAGATGGGGCTTCAGCAGGGTGGGTCCAGCCCTGAGCAGGACATTGATCCCAAGCCTGGAGCTGACTCCTACTGGATGACCGACACCAGGCTGGGTGCTGATCCTGGATTGACCTTCACCAACAGTGAGGCTCCTGGCTGCTTGCTGGTCTACATTGACCTTCGCTGACTCTAGTCACTCATGCCGCTCTGGCCTCTTACTGCCTCTGCTGACTTTCTTTGACCCCCTTACCGAGTCCCCCCTTGGGCTCCTCACTGGCTCACATTAACCTGCAGTGACTGACCCCCCTTGCTGACCCATAGTGACCTATACCAGCCCTGACTGACCCCCTGGTGGCCCTACTCGACCTTCTCTGACTCATTTCTGATCTCTCGCTGACTTTCCCCAACCCCTCACTGACCCCTCACTGACCCTTGCTGACCCACAGGGCCTGGCGGTGCTGCTGCTCTTCTGTGTCCTGAATGCAGATGCTCGGGCTGCCTGGACACCAGCCTGTCTGGGCAGGAAGGCAGCGCCTGAGGAGGCAAGGCCAGCGCCTGGGACGGTGAGGGGCTCTCAGGGTTGGGAGTCAGGGTGGGGGCCCTGGAAGCCCAGGGTTTGAAGCTTCTCCAGGGCTGGCTCACACTCCTATTCCCACGCGCTGCCCCAGGGGCCTGGGGCTTACAACAACACGGCCCTCTTTGAGGAGAGTGGCCTCATCCGCATCACTCTTGGTGCCTCCACCGTCTCCTCCGTGAGCAGTGCCCGCTCCGGCCGGACCCAGGACCAAGACAGCCAACGGGGCTGCAGCTACCTCAGGTGAGTGGAGGGGCTTCCTCGTGAGGGGCACACACAGCTCACAGCAGCCCCACTTTACCAGGGGTTGGCATTACCATGTCCTAAAGCAGTGGATCTACTCATCTCAGCCATCTGGGCCTCTGCGGCTGCCTCTGCCCCAGATGCCTCCTGCCACACACCCAGGGATGCCTTCAGAGCCATTCCACATGCAGCTGGCTGTACACCCACAGAGACCCCAGCCTCCAAAGCACCCCATCACATCCCTCTTTGATGGGGGGATTCCTGAATTTCCAGGGACAATGTCCTGGTTCGACATGGCTCAGCTGCCGACCACACTGACAACAGCCTCCAGGCTCACGCTGGCCCCACTGACCTGGACGTGGCCATGTTCCATCGAGATGCTGGTGGAGGTGGGGGCCTGGGCCAGGGAGGAGGGAGGCAGAGGATCTATCCCTGATTCCCCTTTCTTCTGCCCAAATCAGGAGCAGTGGCTGACTGCAGTGGGGCGAGCTCTCCCCAGGTCACTGCCCCAAGAGGCCCCTACCCACCCAGCCCTTGATCTCCTGAAAAGTGCCAGCCCTTCCATTCCTACCCTACTCCAAGCTCTCTCCAGGTCCCCAGCCCCTTTCCCCATGCTGCAGCCACCCTTAAGACCCCCCATGTCCCTCACCTCTCCAAGTCACTGCTATACCTTCCTCCTGACCTTCCCAACTCCAGGCGCAGACTCCGACTCTGACAGCGACCTGTCCTTGGAGGAGGAGAGAAGCCTGTCCATCCCATCCTCAGAAAGTGAGGACAACGGCCAGACACAAGGGCGTTTCCAGCGTCCACTCCGCCGGGCAGCCCAGAGTGAGAGGCTCCTCACCCATCCCAAAGGTGATGGGGCCCTCTGACCCCATGGGTGACCAAGAGACACCTCATATTCCTCTTAGATGTGACCCAAGGACCCTGCTATCTCCTAAGGATTCCCAGGACTGACCTCTTAGGAACCTGGGGTCATCACTGGGCACCCGAGCACCTCTCCCCGTCCAGCCTCCCAGCAGTGTTCTTCTGGCTAGAGACCCAGGAGCAGTCTGGGCAACAGAATAATGAGGTCAGGGATGTTGTAGGGTGATGTGTCATCCCTCCAGCCCCTTGTCTTCCCTTAGGGTTGGAGTTTGGCCTGGTCTTCCTGACCCCTCGACCATCAGGTTCCCCCACCCCCAGTCTCTGTCCACCTCAAATCGAAAGTAGGGGGCTTATCAGCAATCCCCTCCCTGGATGGTTCCATTGATCTCTGAGAGACACCCTCCTATTCCTACCTCTTCTTAATGAGAACAGCCAGGGTTTCAGGAATGATTAGGGTCAGGGGTCATTGAGTCTGGGTCACAGAGGTCATGAGTCACTGGGGTCAACCCAGAGGCTCCTGTAACTTGCCCTGGCTTCACAGATGTGGATGGCAACGACCTCTTGTCCTACTGGCCAGCCCTGGGGGAATGCGAGGCTGCTCCCTGTGCTCTGCAGACCTGGGGCTCCGAAAGGCGCCTGGGGCTGGACGCCAGCAAGGATGCAGCCAATAACAATCAGCCTGACCTGGCCCTGACCAGTGGAGATGAAACCTCCCTGGGCCAGGCCCAGCGCCAGAGGAAAGGTATGATCCATGACCTTGACCTGCGCTTGAGGGACCCTGGGGACTGCCCATTTCAGCCTCCTAATCCTATATTGCCTCACAGGGATCCTGAGAGCTCCTCTTGATCTAATCTGGGGGGTTTCTGCTCTTCTATCCTGCTTCATGGTCCCTGGAGACTGCCCCTGTCCTGACCCAGGGGATTACTGCCTCCCCACTCTGACCCCTGTCCTGCTGCCTCTCAGGGATTCGTAGGAGCTGCCTCTCCCCTTCCCCACGGGATTTCTGCCCCCAACCCTGTGTCACAGGGATCCCAGAGGCTGCCGTACCCCTAGACCCAGGAAGTTCCTGTCCCCCCGCTCCCATATACATCCTATCCCCTTTTTGTTCCTCCCACAGGCATCCTGAAAAACCGATTGCAGTACCCACTGGTGCCACAGACCCGAGGTCTCCCTGAATTGTCCTGGTGCCGTGCAGCCACCTTGGGCCACTGTGCTGTGCCGGCTGCCTCCTATGGCCGCATCTATGTTGGAGGGGGCACAGGCAGCCTTTCACAGCCAGCCAGCTGCTACTCCTCTCGAGAACAGCTGGACCTGCTCCTCCGGCGGCAACTGAGCCGTGAGCGACTGGAGGAGGCCCCTGCCCCAATTCTGCATCCCCTGAGTCGGCCAGGTTCCCAAGAACGCCTGGATGCTGTGCCAGGCCGCCTGGAGCCCAGGGATCGGGGCAGCACCCTACCACGGAGGCAGCCACCTAGGGACTACCCGGGTGCCAGGGCTGGCCGCTTCGGATCTCGAGATGCGCTGGACTTAGGGGCACCTTGCGAGTGGTTGAGCACGCTGGCCCCGCCCCATGGTGCCCGGGACCTTGACCCACAGCCCCCACCTCTGCCCCTGTCTTCCCAGCGGCAACTCTCAAGGGACCCCCTCTTGCCATCCCGGCCCCTGGACTCTCTATCTAGGAGATCGAACTCAGGGGAGCGGCTAGACCACGTGCCTAGCCGGCACCCCTCACGAGAAGGTCTTGGGCCACCCCCGCAGCTGCTCAGAGTTAGGGAGGACCCAGCCAGTAGCCCTAGCCATGGCCCCTCCACAGAGCAGCTGGACATTCTCTCCTCTATCCTCGCCTCCTTCAACTCCTCGGCTCTCTCCTCTTCTGTGCAGTCCTCAAGCACACCCTCGGGCCCTCATACCACTGCCACGCCTTCTGCCACTGCCTCAGTGCTTGGGCCCTCCACACCACGCTCTGCCACATCCCACAGCATCTCAGAGCTGTCACCGGACTCAGAGTAAGCAGAGTCCAGCCACCAGCTCATACCCTCATCAGCTTAGGGCAACCTTCTGTGCAACCTGCCCTGTGTTCTGCCAAAGATTGGCGTGGGGGGTTGTCAGACAGTGTGGTCTGCCCCAGGCTCAGCACAGCCAGGGGGCCACAGGCTGAGGGCAGAAATCTGGCAGGGAATGGGGGCATGATTAGCAGGGATTTGGTGGCTATATGATTGAGGCCAGCTACCTTCCCTTGCACCTCCGGGGCTAAGGAGGAAAGATAGGTGCCTTCCAAAGGGCTTGAGCTAGTGGAGTGGGGCAGGGCAGGAGCCAAGGCCTAGAAGAGGGAGGTTACCTGGTACATAGAAGGGGCAGGGAGGAGAGGAGGAGTCTTTGCTCGGGGGGCTTTGCCTAGGGGTGGTATGGGATAAGGAGGGGCCAGAAGTAGTGCCAGGATATGCCAGGCTGAAGAGTTAACTGTGAGGGTAAATCATTCATTCATTGATTGATTCAGTCAATATTAAGTTCCTCCTGCCTGTGGGCACTGTGGGGTGGGGCATACAGGAATTGAGTTGGGACCTGGGACATCTCAGGTGACTCTGGGGCATCTGTGGGGTAGGGGATGGCAGCTGGATACACAGGAGTCAGAGAGGGAGTGAGGAGGAACCAGGAGCTGCCAGGCTTTAGGAGCCAAAAGGAGAGTTGAGTTTTAAGAGGGAGGAACAGCTAGGTCAGGCTCTGTGGAGGTCTGTAGGGTGAGAGAAGGCTTTGGGGGGAAGGGGACCCCAGGAGTGGGGCAGGAGATCAACAGAACCTGAGCAGAGTCAGGAGAGGAGAAAGGGGCAGTAGATTTTGGGGCCTGGTGCCCAGGAAGGATGCTAGGGGTGGGGATGAGAGGGAGCTGTGAGCACCACCTGGGTCCTCCAGCAGCCAACCTTGGGGTCTGGTTGTTGAGGGGGCACTGGGGGACTGAGCAGGGGTTTAGGCTCTGGAGATACACTTGATTTCTCTGAGCCTCAGTTTTCTTATCTGCAAAATGTGCCTGTAGTAACAAACTCTTTGAGATGTGGAGACTTTTGAGACAAAATCTGTCAAGTGATTTAATATAGTATCTATTGTAGGTGCTTGCTAAGTGCTAAGTGCTAAGAGAAAAGACATAGGTGGCCGGCCGAGGGGCTTTGCTGATGAATCTGGGAGTCCAGAATGGGTGGAGGGCTCTGAGAACTCCAGAATGGGCATAAGGGGGCTAGGGAATGAGAGCTAAAGGTGATGGGGGACGGGAGGGGAGAGGTCCTGTAGGGGAGTCCAGAGCCACCTGACTCAGAGTCCTCTTAGCAACCACCTTTGATCTCCATGTTCAACTCTGCAGAGTTCCCAGAAGTGAGGGTCACTCCTGAGGGGCGGACGTGCGGAGGAGGAACAGCAAGGGCGATGGAGGATTCGGGCTAATGGAAGAGACTCCAGGAGTCAGGGGCTGATCCTGAGGCAGCCTCTTACCCACCCCCCGCCCCCAGCTCTCTCTGTTGCTGCTGTGCTGAGGTTCCACGCTGACCTGTGAGCATGTGTGTAACGTGCGCAGAGCAAGGGAACTGAAGGGAGGACTTTTATACGTTTTGTACCTTTGTAACCAGAGAGATATGCTTATGTTATTTTTCAGCTTTTCTGTCTCCCGGGGTTCTGAGGCTGGGCTGGGAGGGGGAGGGGGACAAGGGGAAAGAGGTGCAGAGTTTGGCTCCATTTGGGTCTCTGGCAAACAATATGCTCTTTCTTTTCATCTTACTGGAGTAGATTCAGACAGGAGAGGAAATGCTCCCCCTCCAGGTTGATCTGAATATTGTCGGGGCCCAAAGTGCAGAACTGATCTTTGCTTTTTCTTGGATGCCCCAAGGGCCAAACTTCTGGGACTGGGGGTTGGTCTTGGAAACAGGGGTCCTCTGTCCTCCTCACAGGGGCTTGCTCATGCCACCCCTCCCCGTGGATGTGTGTGTTTATTATGTGGAGTCCCTGCCACTTACTGCCTTATGCCTTATGACTGATGCTGTGGGGCACTGGTGGAGCAGCAGATGTCATGTTTACAGAGCAAGGCTTCCCTTTCTCCCATGGGGAGGGTTTCAGGCCTCTATTCAGACATTCCTGCGGAGGGTCATTTGCCAGCCCCTGCCCCTGCTGTGAGCAAATGTTGTCTGTGGTGCCGTTTGATTCCCTGCCACTGCCCCCTTTAGAATTTATTCTGAAGGGTAGGGTGGGAGGAGGAGCAAAGGGAGCAGAAACAGGAATTGAAGACTCAGAATGTAGGTGCCACTGCCTCCCATGTTTACAGGAACTCCCTGGCCCTTGGCACCCGGGCTGCAGGAAGTGACTCAGTACCACCCTCCTATGTTCCCTTCTAAAGGGAAAGATGACTGTTAAGACCCTGTTCACAAAACTCTCACTTTTATTACTTTGTCTGATGTCCAGAACTGGGGACTTTTAAATTTTACTTTGTTTACAGGTCAAGATTTAAAACATTTTTAAACTTTGTTTACAACTTAAAACTTTGAACTTTTACACTTTGTTTACAGTTGAGAGTGGTTTTTTTTTTTTTTTCCCTTTGTTTACAAGTGAAAGGTAGAGAAAATGGGAGAGGGGCTTGGAGGATCCACCTGTGAGGACCCTGGGCCTGGCCTTCTTGAGGGGTTTCTAACCCCTTGCTCTCCCAGGTCAAAGGTCAGCCCCAAGTCCCCTGTTGAACAGCAGACAGAGAAGGCCTTGAGAGTAGGCAAGCTCTTACCACTGGCAACAGTAGCTGTGCAGGGTTGTGGGGGGTCTGTACAGACACACCCCTCCCCCACACATACTCTTGGGAGGCAGTTTCCAAGGAGATTAAAAGTTCTACTTTACTGACTGCTGCCAAATCCCGCCAGCCAGGATCCCAGCTCTCCTTACCCAGAATGACCCCTGCCCTTGAAGGGTTGAGGGGCCTGCTGTGGGGAGAGGGAGTTGTCCTTGATATGTCCTAGGTTCTGCAGATGCTCCTCTCTGGGAGTCCCCCCGTCTAGCCCAGTGGCCCCTTTTCCTGTCTGTGTAAATTGTTCCGTGAAGCCGCGCTGTTTTGGGAATAAACTTCTATAGAAAATGGTTATTGCCTCTTTCTGTTTGGGGGTGGAATAGGAGGGTGGCTATGAATGATTCAGGCCAGGCTGACCTTTGGGAGAAATCTGACCGCTGCCCCCCCAAGAATATTCAGCTATTTTTAGCCCATTTCACTGGAGATTTGGACCAGGTTCCCATCTCTTTCATCTTGAATTCTAGCCAGTCACCTTGTGATTGGGGCCTGAAGTATGAGCAGAGGTGCTGGGAGTAAGGCCCCACGGGAAACCCCCTCCCTGTCAAGGCAGCAGCATGATGACTTCCTAAGTCTTCAGGGCCTGCAGTCCAACCTGGCATTTGCCCTGGCTCAAACCAGGGGTCAAACCAACCCTAGGAACTGCCCTTGCTAAACTCCTCAGCTCATTGACAGCACTGACCCCAACCAGCCTCTCGGATTTGGAGCTGGCCAAGACACCCCATTCCTCTGTGGCTCAGGCAGAAACTTTTGGGCGTGATGCCTGGGCTGTGCTATGTGCAGGGGAGAGGAACCTCGCACCTTACGTCAGGTCTGTGTCCAGAGTCGAAGGGAGGCTTGGACACCTTTGGTCTCAGAAACATGCCTGGTCTCAGGGAAAAAGCCTGAGGGTGGCGCCCTCAGTTGGAGGCATGAGATGCCCCATGGACCCGGATACCTCACGGAGAGCTAAGGCTCTGGTCGCTGGCGGCGCCCTCAGGCATCCTGCTAGCATGGGGGTTTCCCCTCCCCATCCCGCGAGGACCCTCCGCAAAACGCCAGGACATAGTATCAGCCCCGTCCCACTCAGGGCCCTGGGGCAGCGGCTACGGCCAGCCCAGAGCAGGTCCTTAGTTCCAGTTCTGCAGTTCCACCCGGCTCAGGGAGGAGGGCCAGGCCGCAGGCGAGGAAGGGGTTAAATATTCCTCCTCCGGGTTCTCCCCGCCCAGAGAGCGCCTCTTAGGCCCCGACCAAGCACGCTGATAGGCCCAAACCTTCCCCGTCCTGCCCGGGGATTGGTCTCTGGGAGCGCGCCGCAGGCCTTGCCTCTGTCCCAGCCCCGCCTTTCGGCCCGTTGCGGCCTCTTGCTGGCGCTGTAGGAGCAGCCGCCACCTGGCAGCTCGCAAGCCATGGGCCTGTCGGAAGCTTCGGGGTGAGTGCAGGGCGCGGCCTGGGTTTCCCGTGTCCGCGTCCACGTGCGTGTCCGCGAGGCGCAGGCAGCCTCATGGCCCCCGCGCAGACGCCCGGCTTGGGTTAGCTCGGAAGGGGTACCGCCACGTCTGGAGCAGGCATTCCCTGCCTACAACGCCTCGGTTGACCGCTTTGCCGATTTTCTGCAGGCGGCTTCCCAACTGCAGCGAGGGATGGGGGCGGGAGCCGGCGCGACCCCAGCCCGTGAGGGCTGTGCGAAAAGCCGCTCGAGCCTCGCCAGAGGGCTAGCCGGGGGCCGCAGGGAGGCGGCTGCGTGCGGAGGAACCCCGGCCCAGGAGGTGCGCCGGTGGGGCGCGTTGGGGCCGGGAGGTCGCAGCAAGAAAGCGCATAGCTGGGGTCTGAATCCACACGCTGGGTACAACTGATCCGGGAGTGAGCGCTGCGGCCCTTCTGGCGGCTGTGCCCTCCTAAAGGGAGGGGCCAAGGCTCTAGGCCCCGCCTTCCAAGCGCGGGTCCTGCGGGGGTGCGGAGGGAGTCCTTTAAGAAGACCTGAGTGACTCACGGAGGAGGGGCGAGGGGGCTCAAAGATCTCTGTGAGTTCCTCCTTGCACCCATTCCACTCCATCCTCCAACCGGGACATCGAGGCCCTTCCCTGGTGAGTTCCTGCCCCTCGGGTGGGATCCTTCCTCTGGGTCAGAGCTTCTCACAGATCAGAACTTTCCTGACAGACGAAAGCTTTCCCAGCAAGGGAGCGCTTCCCTTCAGGTAAGATCCTCCCTCTGAGATCTATTCCCCGGTGAGAGCTTTCTCCCATTCCAGGCGTGAGCCTCTCCCAGGTCAGAGCTTCCCTTAGGTGAGAGTACCCTCCAGATCAGAACTTTCCTGGCAGGTGAAAGCTTGCCCCCAGGTAAGAGCTCCCCCTCTAAGAGCTGCTATTCCCAGGTGAGATCTATTTCCAGGACAGCTTCTCTCCAGGTAAGAACTCATCTCCCAAGTCTCCTATTCCCAAGTGAGAGCTTTCCCCCTCTTCAGGTGGGAGCCTCTGGGCATATCAGAGGTTCTCCCCAGGACAGAACTTACCTGGCTGGTGAAAACTTTCACGTCAGGTGAGAGCTTCTCCCTAGGTGAGATCCCTCTGAGATCTATTTCCGGCTAAGATCTTCCCCCACTTCAGGTGGGAGCATCCTTTTCCAGGTGGAAGCCTCTCCCTCTAGGTGAGACCCCTTTCTCTCCAGGTGAGAGCCATCCCCTGGCTTTACCAGATTAGGTCTGAACTTGTCTACTACTTGGACCTTGGGACTGGAGGCCCAGGGGCAATCTTAGCCCCACCACTTTCCTTCCCTTAGAGGGGAGAGTCTCATCTGAAAAGGGGCTTGCCTGAAGAACCGGACCCCTAGTTTGCTGGATCCCTTCCTGTCATGTGCTCTCAGCCAGCCAGCACTGGGCTCATGGGGCAGCTGGATAAAGACTCAGATACTGGACAGGGATTGGCTGGGGGAGAGCAGGGGGCTGGGAGGGGCAGTCAGCCTGGGACCTGGATTGGTAGAACCCTCAGGGCCAGGCAGCCACACCTGGGCTGGAAGTGTGGACTGTGGTCATCCTTCGATTTCGTGGGGGACTTTGGCCCAGCAAGAGGGTTCCACTAGCCAAAGTTCAAGCACTGCCCTGGGTGTGGGCATGCGGCCCACAGGGGCCAGCTGGGGGCTGGACCTACCTAGATCTTGGGGCCTACAGAAGTCAGGTGGTGACTTTCTAGTCCCAAGTGGAGGTGTGGGAGACGTTGGGCCAGGAGTGCCTTGACAGTGTCTCTGGTCTTGCCATTCCAGACAGAGGGACACACAAGCACTGCTGTCCACAACGCAGGCAATGGAGCTGAGGAGGCGAGTCTACCATGTGGAGCGGCCACTGCTGAACCAGGAACAGCTGGAGGAGCTGGGGCGCTGGGGCTCAGCGACTGGGACCCTCCAGTGGCGAACCTGGTTGCAGTAAGGCTGAAAGTGGGGGTCTAGGGGCACTGGCAGGACCTAGGTAGCCCCTGTCCCTGATACCTACCCTTGTGTCCTCAGGTGCTCCCATGCTCGAGCCCGAGCCCTTCTGCTACAATACCTCCCTGTTTTGGCCTGGCTACCCCGGTATCCTATGCGTGACTGGCTCCTGGGTGACCTCTTGTCTGGCCTGAGTGTGGCCATTATGCAGCTACCACAGGGTAAGCCACCCCTGATTTGGAGGCTGTATCCTCAACCCTTGGGTGGTGACCTCAACCCTTCAAGGCCCGGGCCTAGAAGCTCTGTGATCTGTGACTGCCCCCGAACCTGAAGCCATGACTTCTGCCCCTAGAACTGTGGCCCATGACCTAGGGCTGGGATTCCCTCATCCTCTCATGGCCCTGGCCTACCAGCCTACATTGCCACCATTCTACCTCCAGGCCTGGCCTACGCCCTCCTGGCTGGACTGCCCCCCGTGTTTGGCCTCTACAGTTCCTTCTACCCTGTCTTTATCTACTTCCTGTTTGGTACTTCCCGGCATATCTCCGTGGGTGAGTGGAGCCAAGCCCAGCCTTGCTGGAGGATGCCCACATCCTTCATGGAGGACAGGCTGAGGGAGGGCTGAGCAGGGCAAGGGAACTCAAGGAAGAGAGCAGCATGGGTGCTGGGCCACGGGGAGACTGGCTCAAGGGTCGTTCCCAAGCAGGAGTAGGCCTCTGACCATGGGACCACAGAGTCAAGTGACCTAGAGGCCCTGGCTCTGGGAGGATGTTGGGGGCTCAGAACTTGGCACAGGCTTGATAACCTGTGGCGGGCCATGTCCTCCTCCTCATTCCATCTTTCACAAGGGGAGTGGTCCTGAGTCAGTGGACATAGGTGAGCAGGATAGATGATGCGGGGCTGACATTTCTAGCCACCCTCAAGAGCCCTTGAGCTCAGGGTTCATACCTGACTGCCAGCACTGCCTCTATTTGCACAGCATAGTCTGAGGATATTTGTCTAAAACTGGATGTCTACTGGCCTCTCCCTTAAGATCAGGTCTCCAGGGCAGGGCAGTGTTCTCTCTCGTTCAGACCTGCCCTGACCTGTCCCTGCAGGCACCTTTGCGATCATGTCTGTAATGGTGGGCAGTGTGACAGAGTCCCTGGCCCCGGATGAGGACTTCCTGCAGGACTTGAACTCCACGGTCAATGAGACGGCCAGAGATGCTGCCCGGGTGCAGCTGGCCTCCGCACTCAGTGTTCTGGTCGGCCTCTTCCAGGTACAGAGCAGTCAGGAGTACTGCCCCGCTACTGCCCGCCCCACTGCTGAACCCACCCTCCACCCCGTCTGCCAGTTCCTCTGAGTGTCTGACCATCACCGTCCTTCTCATAACTCTGGCTGTTCACTCATCCCTCTCTGATCCCACCTACCCTGGGCTCTGCTCCAGCCTCCCCTGACTGCCCCACCTCCCCTGACTACCCCTGGCCACCCCACAGGTGGGGCTGGGCCTGGTCCACTTCGGCTTCGTGGTCACCTACCTGTCAGAGCCTCTGGTCCGTGGCTATACCACAGCTGCGTCTGTGCAGGTTTTCATCTCGCAGCTCAAGTATGTGTTTGGTCTACAACTGAGCAGCCGCTCTGGGCCACTGTCCGTCATCTATGTGAGTGAGGGTGGGAGGAGGGACACGTGGGTGTGCCCATGACCTTGAGTGCCGGCTGTGACCCTGCCTCCCCTCAGACAGTGCTGGAGGTCTGCTGGAAGCTGCCCCAGAGTGTGGTCGGCACCGTGGTCACCGCAGTTGTGGCAGGGGTGGTGCTTGTTTTGGTGAAGCTGTTGAATGACAAGCTGCAGCGATATCTGCCCCTACCGATCCCCGGGGAACTGCTCACGGTGCGGACTCGGGCAGCGGGGGAGAAGGGCAAGAGGGGATAAATCTCTGCCATGTGGGCATCCCCCAGGCATTTAAAGACTAGCTGGCATGGGGACTAGGGGACCGCAGCAGAAAGCTCCCGTGTTGATATCTTCCTGCCCCTGACAGCATCTCCCTTTTCCGAAAATGGTCGTGTCTATCTCATCCTATCACCAACTTCTCCCTCTAAGGCCTTTGCTTCAGGCCTCCCTCTTCACCCCCAAAGTGGTTTCTCTGTCCCCCTTGACAATGATGCGAGCACCTCCCTCCTCTGACTCTGTCCTCTCCCTCCTCTGTCTCTGTCCTCTCCCTCCAGCTCATCGGGGCCACAGGCATCTCCTACGGTGTGGGCCTGAAGCGCAGATTTGGGGTGGATGTTGTGGGTGACATCCCTGCAGGGTAAGCTCCGGCCCCTGTCAGGTCAGGGAGGGTTGGGTGGCCAGGGCCAGCGCCTTCCTTTGGCCTCACAGATGCCCCTCACAGGCTGATACCCCCAGTGGCCCCCAACCCCCAGCTGTTCGCAAAGCTTGTGGGAAATGCCTTCGCCATCGCTGTGGTTGGGTTCGCAATTGCCATCTCGCTGGGGAAGATCTTCGCCCTGAGGCATGGCTACCGGGTGGACAGCAACCAGGTCTGGAGAATGGGATGCGGGACACATAGCGGGCAGCTGAGGTGGTCTGGGGGGATGAAGTATCAGGTGCGACACAGGGAAACAGCAAATAGATGGTGCTGGGCCATGTCAGGGACTGAGGGTCGGGGAGCAGGACATGCAGGACAATAGCCAGCTCCCTGGGGGCTGTGGAGTGGGGACGCCTAGGCCTAGACACAGTGGCGTGCTGAGTGACCAGGCACTGCCAGTGATGTCTCCTCATACCTGCTCTTCCCTCCACCAGGAGCTGGTGGCCCTTGGCCTCAGTAACCTCATCGGGGGCCTCTTCCAGTGCTTCCCTGTGAGTTGCTCTATGTCTCGGAGCCTGGTACAGGAGAGCACCGGGGGCAACACACAGGTGGGCTCAGGTGTGGGTGCGGGTGTGCATCTGTGTATGCGCATGCTGCTTTGCCTAGGTGGTCCCACCCTCCTTCCCCTGCCGTCCCCCGACCAGTGCTCTTCCCCACCAATCTGTGCTCTCCCCCTGCTCTCCCTCTCACCCCCCTGCTCACTCCCACCCCACAGGTAGCCGGAGCTGTCTCCTCCCTCTTCATCCTCATTATCATCGTCAAACTTGGGGAACTCTTCCAAGACCTGCCCAAGGTGAGCCCCCACCCCCACCCAGCCGGGTTTGAGGGCCTTGGCCAGGCCAGGGGCTCAGATCAGTCAGTCACGTCCCAGGTGAGGGGCACGCATACAAGGTCACGCCCTGTTTTTCAAGATTGAGATCTTTGGGATCAAGAGTCAGGGGTTAGGACCTTTCAGAGTCAGATCCAAGTTGTTAGGTCCAGGGGGTGGGTGGTGGTTAGTGTCGTTTACGGTTATGCCCAGGTGCTTGGGGTCTGGCTCATGCCAGGGTGGTCAGGGTTGTCAACATCTGGGCACCTCTTAGCAACCCCTGGTGACACTCCCCCCACCCCAGGCAGTCCTGGCAGCCGCCATTATCGTGAACTTGAAGGGCATGTTGAGGCAGTTCACCGACATATGCTCACTCTGGAAGGCAAATCGAGTGGATCTGGTGAGAGGCCTGGGAGCCCAGGGGTGGGATTGGGGCCTTCGGCCCCAACAGCCCCTCTAGACCCTGCTGACCACTGCCCTTCTGTTTTTAGCTCATCTGGCTGGTGACCTTCGTGGCCACCATCCTGCTGAACATGGACCTTGGCCTGGCAGTTGCGGTGGCCTTCTCCCTGCTGCTCGTGGTGGTCCGCACGCAGCTGTGAGTCACCCCTTTTTGTCCCCCCCATTCCAGCTTGCGAGGGAATAAGGTCCACACTGGCTCCCCCAGCTCTCCCACATCTTGGGGATAACCCCAAGCTCCTTAGTACCCCCTGGTTTCCCCCTTTCTCTGCCCCTTCACAGGCCCCACTACTCTGTCCTGGGGCAGATGCCTGACACGGACATTTACAGAGATGTGGCAGAGTACTCAGAGGTGCGTTGGGGGTGCTAAGCAGGAGGAAGGCCTGGGTGGGATGGGATGGGCAGAACGCACCTTTGTCAGTCCCTTCCACACCTGGCAAGGACACTGGGGACTGAAGGTGCTTTGGTCCTTGGAATTTCAAGGGAAGAATTTGGGTCTGTGACCCCCACTCAGAGTATGAGCGGCTAGAAAGGGCCCGAGGAAGAGTGGGCAGAGATGGGCTTGAGGAGGTGTCTGTCTTGGATCCAGCAGTACAAGCTCCATCCTGCAGAGCAGCCCTGGGTCAAGAATGCTGGAGGGGTTCCTGTAGGGGAGGCTGTTTCCAGGTTTATAAGTCGAGTTACTGGATCTCTGTCATTTACCTCCTGTGCTGGGAAAAATAGGTGGGGGCTCTGGAATAAAACAAGCCCATTCCCCCTGACATGGAGCCTTGAAGGCTGAGCACAGTATGATTAGGCAGAGTGAGGGAAGGACATGAGGGGGAGCAGCTCAGCTGGATGGAAAGGGAGGGGGGACACGTCGTGCAGGTCCGATGCTGAGCAGAGACCTGGGTGGTTCCCTGATGGACTGGGAGCTAGGGGAAGGCTTGGTTGGGATGGCAGCTAAACAGGGTCTCTCTGCATGCAGAAAACAGACCACGGGGCAGGAGTAGGAGACCCAAGAGGAGGCCTGAGAGCCACTGAAACCTGGCCCGGATATTGGCAGAAGGGCAGGGGAGATGGGGAGGGAGAGGTTCAGGATGCCCTGGAGGAAGCCCTGGCAGGCCTGGCTGAGGGCCTGGGCAGAGGGAAGGAGCAGGACGAGGATTCAGGATGACACCACCAGGCCTGTGGCCCCAAGCTTCTGGGAGGGCACTGGCCACAGGCTGGCCCCGTGCTGGTTGGGGAGCAGAGGGTTGGGGGGTGGCGGGCGCTGGGGCACACAGGGGAGGAAAGGCAGCCAGGAAAGAGGAGGGCTCAGCCACCCCACCCCTGACCCATCCCCAGGCCAGGGAGGTCCCAGGTGTGAAGGTCTTCCGCTCCTCAGCCACCGTGTACTTTGCCAACGCTGAGCTCTACAGTGACGCGCTGAAGCAGAGGGTGAGGCCTGGGGTCCCTGGGGTGACTGTCAGAGGGTCCCTGACCTCCCCAGAGGGCCCACATCCCCTTCCCTGACATTCGCCTCTAGTGTGGTGTAGACGTCGACCACCTCATCTCCCGGAAGAAGAAGCTGCTCAAGAAGCAGGAGCTAAAGCTGAAGCGATTGCTGAAGGAGGGGATCCAGACACAGGCAGGTCACCTGGAGCAGTGACTCCTGCCTGTCCTGCGGCTCACCCCACCCCGCCTTTCTCCCAGCCTCCTGGGCTCCTGACTTCTCACCCCCATTCTTCATTCACCTCCTTTCTCCCTAATGCCCCCAAGAACCCTGCTTTACTCCCCTGGCAGGTCAGAGCTCTGGGTGGAATTTTAGTTTTCTCCCACCCCCACAAGGCAGTGACGAAGTGAACCATCACAATCCCTGTCTCCTCTCTTCCCCGGCCTAGGCTGCCACCTCCAAGGGCTCTTCCGGTTCCACCAATGCCAACACCAGCATTAGAGACATCGAGAGCAACAACTTGGAGGGCTCCAAGGCCAAGGTGAGGGTGGAGGTGGGAGAGGGACCAGCCATGAGCTGCAGAGATTGGGGTGCTCACACATGTCCCATGAGGAAAGCCGTGGACCTACCAGTTGTGGGTTCAAGGTGGTTGTGCCAATGGCAGGAGGAAGGGGTGATGGATCAGATACTCTGTGGGGAGAGCTCTAGAGTATGCTCTAGAATTCTGCTCGCGGCTCTCTTGTCTGTAATCTGAGGCCTACATGAAGACCTTGAATTTGCAGAGTCCACAAGACCCCACAGTCTGTGCTCATGGGTAGAGGGAAGAGATTGAAGATGTGGGGAAAATATGTGGGATCAAAGTGGATGCCAAGCTCACTTAGAGACCCAGGCAGGGGGCTGAGGTGTCTGGTTGTACACACGTGTGCATGTGTCTCCTCTGGTCTGTCCTTGGGCCCCCTACCCACTCTACCCTGGCTGACTGAGGATGGAGCACGGTCTCCCACTGCCCTCCCTTTTTAAGTGTCCCTATTAAGCCTGGGCCCAGGAGGTAACAGAGCAGTATACGCATGTCTGTGTGTGCTGCCTTAGTCTAGGTGTCCTCTCCTGTGCATCCCCATGAGTTCCTCCTGTCTTTGCATACAGGAAGCTCCCCATGTCTAAATCCTCATGTGTCCCTTGCATGCCCCATATATGTGGGTGTTTACATCCATGCTCCCACATCTGACCCTATGTAACCCTGCATGTCTGTGCGTGTTCCCTGCCTTCACCTTCTTGTGGGTGGCCCTTGCAGTGTGTCTGGTTCCACAGCAGGTGAGCGCAGGGAATGAACTAGAGGATACAGTGGCCAGCAGTCAAGAAGATGCTAAGGCCCCAGCCAGGTCCACACTGAAGGCCCTGGGCCTGCCTCAGCCGGATTTCCACAGCCTTGTCCTGGACCTGGGCGCCCTCTCCTTCGTGGACACTGTGTGCATCAAGAGCCTGAAGAATGTAAGAGGCTGGAGGCATCCCTAAGAAGGACCCTGGGGAAGGACAAAGCCCTTCAAGCCTCCACTCTGACCCCATAACTAGCTCCACGAGCCCTCGGAGCCTTCTGACGCGCAAATTCTCTGAGCTCTCCCTCTAAACTCCCTCCCTGCAGCCTGCCTGAATCCTCCCTTGGAGCCCCTGAGCCTCCCTCTGAATCTGGCCCCCTTTTCTGCTGCAGATTTTCCGTGACTTCCAGGAGATCGAGGTGGAGGTGTACATGGCCGCCTGCCACAGTGCGTGGGGTGGGGATGGCAGGAGTGGTCTGGAAAGGGGGTGGGGCTGAGGAGTCTGCCAGGCAGCACAAGGGGAAATTCTGAAACTTGAAGTCAGAGGTATCCTGGGAGGCAAGGTGAAGAGTCAAGGGTGACTGGGGGTTTAGCTGTAGCCTCAGGGGTGGAGGTCAGGGGTGACATGGGTCAGGGCATGCTGCTGGTGTCTGAGGGTTGGGGTTCCTGGTGGTTCTGTGAGTCAAGGGGAGAACTACTCCTTGCCTGCAGCTCCTGTAGTCGCTCAGCTTGAGGCTGGGCACTTCTTCGATGCATCTATCACTAAGCAGCATCTGTTTGCCTCTGTCCACGACGCTGTCATCTTTGCCCTCCAACACCCAAGGTCTGGCCCCGTCAGCCCTGTTTTGGTGAGCTGACCTCTGGACCGCTGAACTTTCTTTATCTACTGCTTGTCCCCACCCCTGACCCCAACTCCAGGAAGTCCACACTTCCTGGATGGCTCTGCCCCCAGTGGACACACTGCCTTTCCCTCCTGCCTTTAGATAAAGCTGCTCCTGGGGCAGAGGTTGCTCTCCTAGGGGAGGGGTGTGGTAAGTGTCCTTTGGAAACTGACTGGAGCCTCTCCTCCTCTGCCTGCTCAGGTTACCCAACTCTGACTGTGCTGCTACCTCTGGAGGTTGTGACGGGGCACCCGTGAGAACCCCCCACCCCTGGGCTGCCTCCAGGTGTCACCCAGGAGTCCCCTCCGTATACACATACATACACAACTCAGGGTTGGAGGTCCTAGGACTCCAAGTTCAGTGTGATGGGGCACTGGAGTCATGTCAGCACTGGCCAGTCGGGGGAGCATGCATGTTTTCAGCTTCAGGAATAAAGATTTGTTTGCCCAACACCAGGTTCTGCTGTGGGGTGGGGGCTTGGCAGGGGTTGGGGGGTGGATTCACAGCCCTGGCTCCTGACCTTTCTTATGCCCCAAAGTGGGGACTGGAGTCAGAAGCTGGGGGAAGGTTTGGGGAGGGCAGGGTCAGGAGGGAGAGCATAGAGCAGGAGGGTGAGCTGTGGGGCCAGGCCCAGAGTGGGGGCATACAGGTGCAAGTTTCTCCCCAGCCACACACAGCCCTTGGCACCTGTGTCCTCAGCTATAAAATAGTTGGAATCAGAGCCGCTTCTCAGGAATGATCTGTTCTCAGGGACACTCAATCTGGTGCAGGGCACTGGGTGCCACTGGGAAGACCCTGGAGGGAGTAACATGAACACCTGAGTAACCAACTGAGGAGATGCAGGTGTTCACAGGTGCTGCTGGTCTGCATTTAGAAGTGAGTTTGCATGAATGATTTACTTGGGGAAATGCCTGTTCATATAATTATATCACTGGGCTTTGCAGGTCACTGTGGGCCAAGAAGCATGTACTGATTTCTGCCATAAAATGCCAACATCTGGGCATGTGGCCCAGTGGGCAGCCAGTGGGCCTTCGAGCCAGCTGATACTCTGAGTGATCAGGGTGAGTGTGGGGGGCACTAGAATCTTTCTGGGCCTCAGTGTCTCCTCATGAGCAGAGCATGAATGGTAATAGGATCCATCTCATGGGTTGCTCGATGAGTAAATGCCATGAAATGCTTGCAGCAGTGCTGGGCCCATGTCACTTGCTCAAAATATGTGAGCTTTGCTGTTCACCAGGTACTGACCAGGTGCTAGGCTCTGTGCTAGCCGGGTGGACGGAGGCTGCTCTGCCCTCCAAGTCACAGAGGCACCCCTTGCCCAGCTGTTTTTATTGTGGCCAGTGTCCGTTTCCTGCACTGTGTTCACGAGTTGTCTCTCCTCCCTTCACCCCCCCGAGGTTCCCAGAACCTCAGCCTGGGAAGTCAGGGCTCTTTGTCTACTCTGTCATCCCACGTCCCGGCACCAAGACCGGTGCCTGGCACGTGGCGGTGCTTGGTAAATATTGGTTGAGTGAACCTTATGTGCCTGAGTAGAAGGCAGACCTCAAACAAGAGGCTGCAGATACTTAGAAATGCTTTGAAGAAAATAAGATAGGGTCACACGTGCAAGAAGGGACTGTGTTGCCCACGACGGTCATGGGAGGGAGGCACAGGGAGCAGGTGACACTTGAACTGAAACTCTAGCCGTGAGAAGTGTCTTTCTAGGCATGGAGGACAGTGCTCCTGGTGTAGGAAACGGCAGGTGTGTTCAGCAACACCAGGGAGGCCTGCACAAGGCGGGAGGGGAGAGCAAAGCACGCAGGACCTCACGGGCCAGGCTGAGCTTTCAGACTTGATTCGGAGAGTGAGGGGCTCCACGTTTTTGAACACTCACTCTGCGGCGATGTGGACTGGGGGGTAGGCTGGGTGTATGGGACCAGTGAGCAGCTCTGAGCTAGAGAGCAGAGTTAGAGGCCCTGGAGTATTAGAATTGTTGGAGTTGGATGTTAGGTGAAGAGGAGGGGTGTGGAAAGGAGGCGCTCCTTCTGTCTGGGCCCCAAGCCTGGCATCCTCCCCAGACCTGGAACCCGGCCCCCCATGTTTTCTGGCCAGGCTGCCCCCCCATGAAAAGCAATGGGCCCAGCTGGAACCTGCTACCTGGAGCCTGGCCTGCCCGTGGGGGAGGGGTGTGTGTCTGTTGCCAGGCGCCCAGGTTCCGCAGGCACTTGCCGCAGCTATGCTGCTAGCACAGTCCTTCCTGCTGGTGCTGCTCCTGCTGGCCATGCCTGCCCCCACCCACGCCTGGTCACGGCCCCTGTGGTACCAGGTGGGGCTGGACTTACAGCCCTGGGGGTGCCAACCAGACAGCATGGAGAGTTGCCGGGAAAGCCTGGGCTGTCCCGGCCATTTGATGGGCCTGGGGGTGAACTATGTCTACCCCGTGGCTGGAGTCACGGTCACCACTACCATGATGCTGATGATCGGCCGTGCGGTGCAGCGGCGATGGCGTTTACGGGTTGCTAAGTTTGAGGTGAGCACAGCACTGCTCTGTCCCCCATAGCCTCCTGCCTCCACTTAGACCCAATGAGCTCATATCTTCCACCCAGCCCTCCCGCATCAGCCCCCCCCATTCCTTGTGGGCCTCCTGCTGCCCCCTTCCTCACTGCTCACATCTCATGGTCCCTCCATCTGTCCACACCCATCAGCCCCTGACCATTCCCCATGGCCAGTACCATGCTCCCATTGTCCCTCTCTAATATCCCTATTCTTCGTCTGGCCCACCTGGCCCTCATGACCACCCTAGCCCACAACAGACCCTCGGTGATCGTCCGTTACCCTAGGTCCCCCTTCCCATCCCCTTCTCCCTAGTTCCATTACTGCCCCTCACCACACCTCCGTCTGATCCCTCCACTCTTACACATGCCTGTTGGTCCTCTCCTCAGCATCCACAGGTGACTACTGATCCCTCTGGACCCTGGAAACAGCGGACCCCTATGTCAGACCGTGCCTTACTCCTCGGGGTCCTGCACATGCTAGATGCCCTCCTGGTCCACATCGAGGGCCACCTGCAGCATCTAGCCACTCAGCAACGAATTCAAATAAAGGGGACTCCCTCCCAGAATGGGTGACCCAACATATGCCTCTCTTTGCCTGGTGGTCAGTCGGGGTGGGGATGGCCTGAGGCTCTGGACCAGGCTTGGGCCTGTGTGTCTGTTCTCTCCAGGCCTGCCTGGACCCTATGTCCCCTTTCTACTTTTAGAGCCAGCAGACTTATTGAGGCCTCAGTGCCCAGAATGGGTGGGCAGGTGGGGCCCAGGCTGGCTCACACTGCTCCATTGCCCCCACCAACTGACTCCTCCTCCCTAAGGATCCCACCCACAAATACAGCTGCTCCTCCGGGGCCTCCAGTGTAGTGGGAGAAGACTTGACCATCAGGGCAGACTTGGGTGGTCCAGGGAGGGCTGCCCAGAGGTGATAACTTGGCTGAGTCACTAGAACTCCTGGTTGGGGCTGCAGCCTAAGCTGGGGGTGGGGGCCTTCATTTTTGTGGTGGTCTCAAATATGCTCTGGCGTCTGAGTGGCCCTTGCTCTAAGGCCCCTGGAAGTGAAGTGAGGGCTGAACCTTCCCCCCTCCTCTATATCCTTCCTTCTATATCATAGGCAGTCCAGGTTGAGTGGGTACCTAGGACTATGCATTTTTAAGGTCTCTGTTTTTGAAAAAATATGACATTATGAATTCAAAAATAGAAACAGAAGTGAATTAAAATAATGAGAAAAGAAATCATGAGAAATTACAACTGTTAAAAAACTGATAAATTACAATGCAAAATGCAGAACAGTAACATATTTGTAGTGACTTCCTGACACATTTCTGTAATACTTTTTCCCCTACATTTTCTGGCTGCTCACTCTGATAGCCTCTGCATAGGATGAGGATTTTGTAATTTTGGGGGAAATATTTTCCATACAGAGAACAGAAAGGTAATTCAATCTCCCTTCTAACATGGTTGATTGAAATTTGTGTTTTAATTATTGATAGTTCAGCAAATTTATCTTATAACCTGTTATTGATGGTGTCACATAAGTGGTCTGGATTGTTTTCAAATTTAGGAAACTCATCAACTTTCTTTCATATAGTACCCGTATGATTTGGAAGAATTTTCCACAGATAAGCTGCTGGGTCCATACATTTCAAAGCTTTTTTTTCTCTCCATGGCCCACAATTTTTCTAGCACTGGGCAGAAAAGTGGGACAATAGGACCTTGCACTTCCATCCTGACTAGGAGCTTGGACCTGGCAGGAGGTTTCTAGAGGCCATTCCTACACCAGGACAGGAGCAATAAGCTAACCATACACAGGAGTGGAGCAAGCCACATAAAGATGTCCCTCTAACCCAAACCAAGTGCGTCCCTGTGGTAGACTTGGAGATGTGCTGCCTGGGTCCCCCTTCAAGGAAGGCCGGCTGCTGCCAGCCACCAAGAAGGCAGCCAGCAGACGGGTCTACCTCAGTGGTAAAGAGCCCCATCACAGCTAGTATTCTCCCTCAGCCCAACGCTTTCCCTCCGTCCCTCCCTCAGATGCTGATCTTAAAGGACTCTGGAAAACATCCTGAGCTCCCTCTTGGATTCTGCTTCCCAGAGGAACCGACCTGGGACAATCCCCAACCTACCTTCCTCTTGGCTGGACCTCAAAAATGTCACAGCCTCTCCGATGTCCCCTACATGAGGGGAAGTGGGGTGGAGGGGAGTCTGAGTGGGAAAGGACAGAGGTCCTCACTGAGTACAGTTAGAGTATCTCAGTTTTGCAAGTTTTCCAAAAATACTTGACCCTATGAATACACTAGTGGGGCTCCTCCCAAGGCCTAGAAATGAAGGGCGTTGGAGCTTGAGCTTCATTGGCCTCTTGTTAGGTCTACTTCTACATTCTGCAAGGTTCAATGAGCACCTGTTTGCTAGTCCTATGGTGGATGCCAGGATCTGCTGATGTACAGAACAGAACTGGCTCCTCCCTCACCCACTCACAAATAAGGGAGGGTGGTGGTGGTGGTGAAATAGACTCAAAAGGGCAATTACTCTGCAGAGAGGTGTGCTGGCTCAGTTGGGGTGGGGCAGGAGTGGGCTGACTGCTGGGACCTGAAGGATGAGTGGGGTGACTATAGAAGGGGGAGAGAGCTCCAGTCAGAAGGACAAGCACATACAAGGGTCTGGTGGGGGGACAGACCTTGACCTGGTCCAGGAACTATAACATGGTCAGGATTTCAGGGAAAAGAAGGAGCTCTGGGGAGGGTTGGGAGTTGGTGCCTCCTAGGGAAGTTGTGGGCAGAATAATGGCCCCTCAAGATGTCCATGGAGGGCCGGCCCCGTGGCTTAGCGGTTAAGTGCGCGCGCTCTGATGCTGGCGGCCCGGGTTCGGATCCCGGGAGCGCCCCGAGGCACCACTTCTC